TGCCCCTGTGCCTTGGTGACAAGGAGCCTGTGGGATTTGCCCCTGTGCATGGTCAAATGCTGCTCTAAGAGCACACAGAGTTTCCTTGGGAGCAGTGGATGCCTGGGTTATAATGTGTATCTCTCATGTTAAAGTAGACATGAGAGGGCTCTGAGGCTGGTCTGGTTCTGGGCCTGTTTCTGCCAGGAGCTAAAATGGCCTCCAAGCCCGTTCCAGCCCTAGCTATGCCAGGCATTAAGATGGCGGCCGCCGCCTAGGAGGCCTCCCTGTCACGTGACAGTCGGCTGCCTGGCTTGGTGAATGGCGCTGGGGGCGTAGCGAGCGGCGCTGGCGTACGCCTGGGGCGGGCCCCCTGCTGGCTGGCGGGGGCGCCTCAGTGGGACCCGTTAGAGCGGCAGGAAGACGCGGCCCCCGCCCGAGGCTGAGGCAGGCGGCCGCCGCCCGCGCCGACATGTCGAAGCGGCTGAGGAGCAGCGAGGTCTGCGCGGACTGCAGCGCTCAGGGTAGGAGCGGCCGGGGCTGAGGGGGATGGGCGGCCCCGAGGTGCCCCGTCCCTTGGGACTCTCGCTTCGGGGCCTTCCCCAAGGGAGCCCGGGGTCCTGCCCGAGCCCCGCCCGGGGGGCCGCGTTCGCCCCGCGCTGCACCGGGACCTAGGCCGAGCCCCCGGGGGCTGCGTGGCCGGCGGGCCCTGCCCCAGGCACCCCCCCCCCGGGCAGCCGGTGGCGGGCGCCTCGGGGGGGCGCGCGGAACAAGCCGCCCTGGCTGCGAGTAGCAAACAGGAAGCCCGGTGCAGAAGTAGCGCAGGCGCTGGGCGTTGTGCGCTCCTCGCAAGTGACAGCGGCTGGCCCTGGAGCAAAGAAACAAGCCGGGTCTTCCTCGGCGGTGACAGGAGTGTCCTGCCCGGGGCCGGAGCCTGGGCGCCCCCGTTTCCGCTCCCCGGGGCCACCTGCAGCACCCTGGCATCCTCTCCGCCTCCAGCCACGAGCCGTGCTGCCTGCCCCTGCTTGAAAACCCTTGTCGAGCCCGGCTGCCCTAGGACTGTGTCTGACAAAGGTGGCCAAGCATGGTCGCGGCTAGTCTGGTTTGTTGTTCTAGTGTGGACGTGGGCTTTTGAAATACCTTTGGTGTATTCTGGGCAGGCTCTGTCTCTTCCAGTTTATAGAGCGTAGGGCACAATAATTGGAGCCTCTGAGCACTATTGGAATATAAATATAGACTAACAAACAAATGGTTTCTGATAACTCATCTGTATACTGAAAATGGTTTTCAACAGTTTCTAGTTTGGGCAAGGGCCATCTGGTCAAATCACAAAACTAGAAATCAATAGATGTGGGTTCTGCTAGCTTGATCAGTGTGTGTCACTTCCCCTCTCTGTGCCCCTGTGAAATGGGAAGAATAATGCTTTTCTACCTCTTGAGTATTGATGGGCTTAACTCACCAGGGTTTGCAATGACTTTTAATTTGTTGGATGAATGGATGGTGTGGTAGAAGTGCAAAGTATTAGTGTTATTCTGGCACTACGTCACCCAGACTTGAGAGAAACATAAACTAGTTGTTCACTTACCAAAAAAAAAAACCAAAAACTAAGAGCAATTGAAGTTGCAGTTGTAGAACAGGGAAGCCACCTTTCCATGCCCTTCCAGAATGTGGACTTAAAAGTCCCAAACTGAAATGTTAGGAAACTAGTTTCTGAGTTAAGGACTCCCTGTTTATGTCACCATGTACTACTATTACTAGGTAAAAGCAAATTGTTTTCTTTAAATTAAGTTGTTGCTCCTGTCTCATTTCTTGCCATTTCAGTTCCCCAGTTATGCTCTAGAGCAAGAATTACAGCTTTAAAATGGTTTTGTAAAGTTTCTTAATCTTGAGGAACCATCTCTAGAAACAAGTGGTTGTAGCTCATTCAGCCTCTGACATTTCCAAACAAGGAAATGAAAGGGCATATTGGACCACCAACTTGTTAGCCATGGGAAGCTGTTTGGGTGTGTGCTTGAGGGAGCTGTTTAAATATCATTACTATTGTAGTCATTCACAACTTCAGTTTACTATCAATTTCAAGTTTGAAACATGAGCTGTACAATGATATCAACATAATTAAAAAAAACTTTATGGTAGCTTAGCTACTAACATTTAGATTGTAAATTCTTTGAGACAAGGACTGTCTCCTTTTTTGCATGTTTTTAGATTTTTAGCTGCAGTGATTTAATTAGGTTTGTGGGGGGCAAGGCTGTAGCAGCCAAGGTCAGAGAGAAAGAACTTGCAGGTAATCAAGATAAGATGAAGGTCTGAATGAAAATTGTTGTGTTGTGGACAAAGAGGAAAGGCCGGAGGGAGGGAGTGTGTGTGTGTATAATATATATGAATCAGCAAGATTTAGGCATGGTCTGGATGTGTGGGTTTAGAAAGAGGGCTGAATCAAAGATGACACCCAGATTATAGACTGGAGAGACTAGAAGAATGGTGGTGGTGTCCCTGGTGATGGACAGCTGAGGGGAAAAGGGTGCCCTTTCAAGGCAGGGAGCGTGTGAAGGGAAAAATGAAGTGTGTGTGCGCATGTGGAGGGAACGACAGACAATGACTTTAAGGGTCTAGAATAGTAGTTCCCAAACTTTAACAACCTGCGAACCCCTTTCATGAAAATATCAAATCTTGTGACCCTGCCCCTTCCCCCCCCCCCCAAAAAAAGAATATTTCCAGGGATTTTCTCCTTTGCCTGAGTATAAATTATAGAAGCAGTGATCTTGGAAATAATTTGTTTTTTTATGATGCGCTTATTACACACTATTTATTATTACATTATTATTTATCATTACATTATTAATTTTATTACATTATGAAAACGGCAACACTCTTCCAAGATTTCATTTTTGTAGCTTATCACTTTGATTAAGCCTCCTACATGTTTCATCCAGGAGTACCAGACGTGAAAGAGCATGAAGGTATTTAAGAAGCCAACTCAATAAAGAGTTCCTCCCACAAGCATTCGGGTCTTGAGCAGTCCAGGCAAACAACACACAACTGCAACAAAGCTTAAACTTGTTCTGCCAGGAAGTCATGGTCACAGTGCTCGGGCTGCTGGCCCCCGTGGCCGGAGTCCCTAGGGATTGTTCTGCACACCATTACAGAATTTTTTTCTGAGAACCCCAGTTTGGGAACCACTGGTCTAGAATGAAACTTCTGAGTCTGCGAAGTTACACCTTACTCATCTCACAATTTTAGGTATCAAGTTTAAAAAATAAAACGTCTAACATAGAATTTGCAGGAAAAACATTTAGTGAGATAAATCTTGTAAATTGGCATACTTATATAATGTAAAGAATTTGTTGCATTACTAATTCCATGAGTGAACCTCCATTTAAGGAGACACAGTCTAGATACATTACCCTTTTAAACATGTTTCCATACGTATGTTTATAATCTAACAGAATATTAAAATGGGAGAATTTAAAAATTGATTTATTTTTTGTGTTTGCTGTTCCTTTTTACACCTTCTGCTTAGATCAGGGGTTCTCAAACTGGGGGTCGGGACCCCTCACAAGGTCATTACATGGTGGGTCGCTAGCTGTCAACCTCCACCCCAAACCCCGCTTGCCTCCAGCATTTATAATGGTGTTAAATATATTAAAAAGTGTGTTTAATTTATTAGGGGGGTCACACTCAGAGGCTTGTGATGTGAAAGGGGTCACCAGTAAAAAAAAAAACGTTTGAGACCCACTGGCTTAGATGTTTATTAAATACTATTTCATAGTCAGTTTCACTTCCTGACAATTCAGTCAGTGTATTATGGGTATGCCAAGCCATAGCAGTGTTGACAAAGCATAAGCAAGAAGCATAATCCTGTGGGATTTGTTGAAGGTAGGTACAGTTTTCCAAGGATAGGGCTTCAGTGTGTCCAGGAGTTTATCGTCCATGTCCATTCATTATGCCTGTACTGCAGAAATTGGATGAGAAATTGAATCATAGAATCGTGGGACTGTAAGGGACCTCAAGAGGTCATCTAGTCCAGTCCCCTGCACTCATGACAGGACTAAGTATTATATAGACTATCCATGACAGACAGGCATTTGTCTAAGCTGCTCTTAAAAAATCTTCAGTGATAGAGATTCCACAACCTCTCCAGGCAATTTATTCTAATCCAGTAATTAGAAATAGTGTAGGGCAATGTTTTAATTTGTTGATGAGGTTTGTAAAACCTAAAATATAGCCTTAAACTATGATGGATGTACAGTATTTAAAATGTTACCATTTCCATCAATACTATCACTCTAACAGGGAATGCCTCTAAAATGTTACACATTTTAAGGGTGTGCACACTACTTGACAGTGTCCTTTTACATATATTTCATGCTTGTTTTATATCTGTGTGTGAGTGATCTAGAATTTTGAAAGCTGTGTTCAGAGAAGAATTCTGCTTCATCAAGTCAGATTAAAATAACATTGAAGTATTAGCTTTTAGCATAAGATTGTTCATAATGTACCATACTACTTCTAAGTTTAGAAATCACAACAAATTTGTTGTGCTGCCTTGAAATATGTTAATTTCTACAAATTCAGATCTCTTGGTCTCTTATAGCACAAGACTCTTGATTTGTAAACTGAATAAAGCAATTTTTTAGGTAGATTTAAACATTAAACTAGCATCAGAGTTAAAAAAGAATCTGACAGATGTTCTTCTAACATTACTTTCATTTTACAGTTGTTGAACTAAATTGAGCTCAGAGCTTGGGTAATTCCTTATGAGCTTGCACGAGGAATGAATCTGAGGGCATGTCTACACTGCAATTAAAACCCCCTATCTGGCCTGTGCCAGCTGACTCAGTCTCGGGCTAAGGGGCTTTAAATTGTGGCGTAGACGTTTGGGCTCAGGCTGCAGCCTGGGCTATGGGACTAAGGAATCTGAGCTGCAGCCCTAAGCCCAAACGTCTACACCACAATTAAACAGCCCCTTGGCCTGAGCCAGCCGGCACAGGCCAGCGCTGGTGTCTAATTGAAGTGTAGACATACCCGAAGAGACCAGAATTTTGTCAGTAGCGAGTGATATTATCTGCTCAGTTTTAGTGCTGCTCAGTAAAACTACTCAAATATTTAAATGGTCATGGTCAAAAAAGAATTAATGTTAAATTATTTACCTTTCTTACTAATAACATAATAAATTGTTAAAACTGAAGAGTCTCCACAATCAGTTTTACTTTCCTCCATTGTAATTTACTCTTTGCATTTTATTCAGCTTGAATAGAAAAAGTAGATTAGTGAGTTTCTACTTGGTTTTGCTTGAGAAGATTCCTGCACTAGTCCAGTGTTTTTGTATCTGAATTGCCCTATCTGAGTTGGCTTTTGGGGCCTCTTTTTGGCATCTTTCCTGCAAACCATTATGCAAATATGTAGCTGTACTTATGAACAGTCCCATTAACTTCAATAGGACTACTTACAAAGGTGAAGTTATACACATACATAAGTATTTGGAGGATCATGGCCTTAGGGGCTAACTGGGAAACCATAATTTGGAAGTTTTGTTTTAAAAATATTTTAAAAGGTATGTATTTTTGGTGGTTTTTTCATTTACTTCTGCTCAGTAACAGTTCTTTCTAAGGACTACCCAAGCATCATAAATAGTCTTTCCTTCTCAAGCTGTTGTGATTCATACTATATTTGTGTTTTGTGCTGTGATTTATTTGTCAGGCCAGTGATCCTCTCAAAAGAAAGACTGGAATTAATCACTAGATTGCAATGCACAGAAACTCTGAACATCCCAAAGTTTTGGAATAGTAATATAAGACAGGAAGGGACTTCTGAGAGGTCATCAAATCCAGCCCCTTGTATTTAGGCAGGACCCAGTAAATCTAGACCCATCCCTGCATGTGTTTGTCCAACCTGTTCTTAACAAATTCAGCGATGGGGATTTCAGCCTTCCTTCATAGGTCATGTTCTCAAGACCTTTAATCATTCTTGTTGCTCTTCTCTGGACCCTTTCCAATTTCTCCACATCTTTCTTGAAATGCCCAAAACTGGACACAATACTCCAGCTGAGGCCTAACCAGAGCAGAGTAGAGCAGAAGAATGACTTCTCGTGTCTTGCTCACAACACACCTGTTAATACATCCCAGAATCATGTTTGCTTTTTTTGCAACAGCATCACACTGTTGACTCATATTTAGCTTGTGGTCCACTATAACCCCTAGATCCCTTTCTACCGTACTCCTTCCTAGACAGTCTCTTCCCATTCTGTATGTGTGAAACTGATTTTTTCTTCCTAAGTGGAGCACTTTGCATTTGTCTTTGTTAAACTTCATCCTGTTTAACTCAGACCATTTCTCCAATTTGTCCAGATCATTTTGAATTATGACCCTGTCCTCCAAAGCAGTTGCAATCCCTCCCAGTTTGGTATCATCCGCAAACTTAATAAGCGTAATTTAATTGAAGACTTATCAGGTCCCCCCCTCAGTCGTCTTTTCTCAAGATTAAACATGCCCATTTTTTTAACCTTTCCTCACAGGTCAGGTTTTCTAAACTTTTATCATTTTTGTTGTTCTCCTCTGGACTCTTTCCACTTTGAACTTAACTGTGACTAAAACTAGGTGTTGTCTATATACAGAGTTTCACCAGTTTAACTTTGTGTCTGTTTAAAAAATGATTCAGTTAAACAGTGTATGCACAGGATTTTGCACTAATTAATTCAATTTTTACACCTGGTTTATATGCATTTAGTTTAACTCACCATTTCCTACCCCACTCTCACATCACTGTCCTCCAAGCCACTTGAGTTTAACTAAATCAGATGAAGATTATAGTTTATAAGGCCAGAAGGGTTCACTGTGATCCAGTCTGACCTCCTGTAAGGCAGGTTTAAATTGAATTAACAGGGTTCATGCAGCTTTTTGCACAGTCTGTCTAAATCTGTTTAAAACTGGACCTTTAGCTAAACTAGTGCAATTCTGACTATAATGAAACTCCTCAGCCCTTTCCTTTCCTTCTCCGCCTCCACTCCCACACACTCAGTCAGAACCCATTATCCTCCCTGTCACTCAGGCCTGTAATTTGGGAGGCTTCTTTGATGCCTCCGGCTTCCTTGCTTAACACATCCAGGCGTCGTCTAAATCCTGCTGCTTCCTCCCCAAACACCTTACAAAATCAACCATTTTCTTTTAGTCCATGTTGATAACTCTCATTTAGACCCTTAGCATCTCATGGCTTAATGATTATGTCCACCTTCTCTCTGGTTTCTAACACTTAGTAGGAGCTAAGAACATCATCTTGGCCCATCACTTTGATTGTGTCAATCCCCTGTGAATCCTTCCATTGACTCTCCTGTTTTCCACTGTATCACATTTTAACTCTGTTCTTATCACATCACTCCCTACACTCTGCCAATAACTCAAGGCCTTAAATGCTTATTTGTCATCTTCTGCCACAAGCTTCTGCGTGCTTTTGTCCATGCTGCTCCTCATGCATAGAATGCCCTCTCTGAACTATTCAGGGAAGCTACTATCTTCTCAGTATCATTACTCTTGTACTCTCCCCTCTTGTTACTTCCACTTGCAATATTTTGTTTCAAGTCAGATTGCAGGCTGTTTGGGGCAGGGACTGTCTCCTGCTGTGTGTTTTTACAGTGCCTGAAATTGATTGTGTCCTTTGGGTGCAACAGCAATAAGAATAGTTACTATAGTCAGCAAGCAGAATGCACGTGGTCTTTGTACAGTAAACTATGCCCTGTTAAAAATGTTCTCCATTACACAGCTATTCTAACATCTGTCTAAGATGCGATGTGGGTATATTTTGTTTAGTGTGTATACTGCTTTGACGTGTCCACATACGAAATATTCTATCAGTATAAGCTGTAGTGATGTTCAGATAAGGATAGCTGTCGGAATCTACATACTCATATTTACTTTTCTCTTTAAACTGTTTAAATTTTATAGCCCTTGCTATTTTGAGCAAAAACTTGTTTCTGTATAGTTGATAGAATATTAATTCTCTGAAAGCTGACCAGGTTCTGGTTGTCCACTTGCTGGTTTTTGGTCTTTTGAAACTTGTTACTATCTGAAACAGAGCCTTAAATACTTGGGTCTGAAAATCCTTGGAAATAGCAGTACAGTAGCCAAGCTTAAATTCAAAAAGAATCTTGCTTTTTATCTAAAACAAACTTTATATAAACATAATAAACAAAGGAGGGCTTGTACATTTTGGAAGCTTCTAATGTATCTGAAGAGAGGAGAAACATTAGGAATTGAAATGTTCTGTTTAGGTATTCAGTACTTAAATATATTGCTGTTTTCGCTGATTTATGTTGAAGTGAATGCTGGCATCAAAAAGCTTAGTTTGTTAATTAGTTCTAATTATATTGAATGATCCTGTAAATTAACTGGCATGAATTAGCTAAATAACACAGGTCATCATAATATTACCTTCTTTTTGAGTTTTGTTCCTGACCAGATGGATTTATTGTGAAGACAAACACCTTGTTTAAACTTCATAATCTTGAAAAAGTGGTGTAAGTGAAGAATCCCATTGGCACAGGTCCTGGGGGGTAGTCTTTCTTTAAAACTTGACACCACTTTATTTTTAGTGGTGAAACTAGCTAAACTGTAAATAATTGTATTGGTCTTACTAAACTTATCTTGCTTGCACTACCACTAAAAGGAAACAGCATCTCTGACCTCAGGCTAAATTGCAGCTTGTTTCATGTGATCCTAAAGATGCTATATAAAATACATCATACACTTCAAAAGAGTGACATGTACATTCAGTAAAAAAGAAAGTGTGTATTTCCCATTCCCCCTAACCTTTGTGTGTTTGTTAGTTTGTGAGTCCTTCAGGGCAGGGACCATTGTTCCTTGTCTGACTTGAAAGTGCCTGGCACATAGTAGGGCACTACCATAAGCCAATAATAAATTATAAAAATAGGAATTGCAACTTCAGAAGTAGGTTGGGAAATGGGTTATTGACTTCTTTTGAGACCATATTGGAATACAGTACAGGAGTTTCAAGTGACATACACCTTTAGTATGTGGGTAAAGATTGTGGGGATATACTTTTGTCTGGTTTTTCTCATGTACCAGAATGGCAGCGCAATACCCTAGGGCATTGTGACTTCTCATGATGGTCAAAATCATTCCATAGAACACTGAACACATCTCATTGACCTGCCTCGATGTCTTTTACTTAGTCTTACTATGGGGAACTGTGGATGATAAAACATGCTGTGCTATAACATTAGATGATTACTGGCTTAGCGTAAAAGTAGCATTGTAAGGAATTGTGTCACTGTGGCATTTTTTTTTTTTTTACCAATTCTTGAAATTAACATAGCTATATCCTGCTCTTTTGTCTTACAAAAATAGTGCCTCTTATTTGTATATTAAAATAAAAATACATAAGAACACACTGCAGATTTAACAAGGCAGGACTTAAAACTTTGAGCAATAAACAATAAATACAATAATACTTATTATTTATATAGTATTTTGCATTTAGAGATCTCCAGGCCCTTTACAAAGATGGGATATGTATCATTATTCCTATTTTACAGACAGGAAAACTGACACAATAATTATAGGATTTTCTATGGCACTCCTCACTGTAGTATCTGAGCACCTCATGAACTGTAATGAATCTAGCCTCATAAAACTCCTATTGAGGAAGGGAAGGATTGTCCTCACTTTATAGATGGGAAACAGATCAGAGTAAGTGGGGTTTTTTTCCTCAAGGTCCCACAGCAAGTCAGTGTCAGAACTTGAAACAGAACCCAGATCTCCTGAGTCCCAGTCCAGTGTCTAACCACAAGACCCATATTTCCCCCAACATCTTTAGGCCTAGGGAGTCTGTGACTTTCCCAAGTTCATATAGCAAGTAAGTGATGGTAGATCCAGGAATAGAACCCGTTACACCTGATTCCCAGTCTTGTGCTCTAACCACTGGCCCACAGTGCTGCCCATATTATAATAATATGCTTCTCTTTTCCAGACCCCTGTTGGGCATCAGTAAACAGGGGAATTCTGATTTGTGATGAATGCTGTAGTGTTCATCGGAGTCTAGGACGTCATATCTCTCAAGTGAGGCATCTTAAACACACACCATGGCCTCCAACGTTGCTTCAGGTAAAAGCTGAGGATTGCTTTCTGATGAGAGTCGGAAAATGCAGTTCTTAGAGAACTCTAATTACTAAACTTTCTGGTGGGGAGGGTTGCTTCATTAAGCTCTTTTTAAAATAGGTTTCTTGGTTTCTGTTACATTGCTGTAATAGATTATTAAAGTCAGTGTTACCTCCACATTTTAAACTTACTGTTAGGGCAAATTCAGAGCCTGGGGTATAGTTAAAATTTCCTTGGTTTTGAGAGTTAACTTTTGTCTGTCTGTCCAACCGGAGTACTGCAGTACATCCACTTCTACTCAAATTGTCAGGTTGTAACAAGCCTTTTTTCCCCCCAGAGCTACAGATGAGGTCTGTTGCTGTGGCTATTTAGGAGAATCTAATTCTAAGCGCGTGCCCTTTCTGCTTTCATTTCTTCTTTCTCACATGTTCTCTATTTTGGGAAGCCTAAAAGATCCTTTGGTAGCTACTTTAACGAAGCCTTCTTGAAAAGTTGCTTTGCTCTTTCAAAGTTTAAATTTACTTGAGGGTATGTCTGCGCTATAGAGACTGCACTAGCATAGCTACATCACCACAGCTATGCTGGCATTCCCCGGGATTGTAGATGTAGCCTACACTGGTGGAAGGGATTTTTTCCACTGGTGTAGGAACAACACCTTCCTGAACAGTAGTAGTATGTGTCTACACTGGGGGCTATATAGCTACGTCATTCAGCTTTTCACACCCTGACCCACGTAGCTATGTCGACCAAACTTTTAAGTTCAGACCAAGCAGTAGTGTTTGTGGGTGAGAGTTGGTGGACCATCTGCACTTGCAGCAATAATAATTTGACTGGCATCTGCAGGCCAGTTAACAATGAGTAAAAATTGCATGATTTTCCATTTCTTTGCATTTTGCATATTGTAGCAGTTCTAGGTCAGAATATACACTGGCATGGACACTGATTGTCAGATGCGTATACAAATATGTGCCTGTGAACATTTATTCCCAAAACAAAGCTTTCTCCTAGTTAATTTAAAGGAGCTATCCTTGCTCAGTATAGGAATCTGGTATACACACGACTAGATCTGACATTCCATTTAGGACACAGAAACATGCAAATGTGTTGCCATTCTCATTTACCTCCATGTGAGCCTGTCCTTTTTTTTTTTTTTTTTATAAAAAAACAAAAACCACAAACCAAAGGCTTCTAGATTAATAACTTAAAAAGTGAGATGTTACTTTGTAGCATGTCTGGATTCCAACACTTTCACTATGTAAATGTGTATGAAATTAAAATAAAAGTGAGGGTTAGGTTAAGATTCAGGCAAATTATATTTTATTTTAAAAATAAGTTTAGATTGTATGTGTCTGATTTGTCTCCCTTTCCCCACCCCAAAATGCACACTACCTCTCTGCTCTGTGCTCTGGTGCTACTTTCTAAGTACAGAAGACAGCACTCTTCTCTAGACAGGCAGCTGCTGCTTTTAGCAGCAGAAGATCCACAGCTGGGGAGAAACCATGCCATATGTCTCACCTGCACACCCTAAAAAAGATCACTCCCAGCCAAAGTGGGGAGAAGCCACCCATGCTTTCAGTTCCTACGCAACAGGGAGGTCTGAGGAGACAACCAGTTGCCTCTTAACCTATATCCCTACAGCAAAACAAAGAACCTGTGGGGAAAAGAGGCAAGTGGATAATGTGCCAGCTCATGAAATGTAACTGGTTGACTGATCTCCCCAGGAATTCTGCCCATCTCTCCTTCATGGCTGAGTTTGGGTCTCTTTGGGAGAACAAAGTCTTCGGTCCCCAGATGCAAAGCAGTGGATCTGCTTATACTGATGCAATTTAAAGCAGCATTAGGTGTCTGCCTTCAGGTAAATGCTGCCTTCCCTGCTTGCAATATAATCTGTGAAACTACTTATTTTTAAGGCCCACCCCAAGAAGATCTCCAGGTGCCATACAACAATAAAATGAATAGAATAGGTAAACGTACATGATGAACCTCTTCTTGAACTCCGATTGAGGGGGAGGCTCTTACTGAAAACAAGAAGAGCTGCAGCAAGCTTAACTGGGCTTTGGGTCACGTACAATCTAAAATTGATAGTGGAAAGTATAGACAAAAGAACATCACCCTAACCTGCTCTCTTCTTAACAAAATAAGGTTTGATATCAGTTGCCTTTTAATATTAATAAAAAAGTCCAAATATATCCTTTTCCTTGGCAACTTTCTGGAGTAGCGCAAAAATGCTCTCCACTTGGGAAATACCATCTGTGAGCTGCTCTGCCTGTGCAGGTAGTAGTAAAATACTTAATGCCTGTTGCACACATTTTGGGTTTCAGATGGTTGAAACACTGTATAATAATGGTGCTAATTCCATATGGGAACATTCTTTGCTGGACCCTGCATCTGTTATGAGCGGAAGGCGCAAAGCTAACCCACAGGATAAAGTGCAGTAAGTAGAATGTTTATAAAATTCTGTGTGTCTTCAGGAGCCCCTTTGTAAAAATGTACCTATTTTGACTAGTTGTGAGAAGGGCAGCAACAGATGAGTAAAAACCTGATCTTGTATCAAGTCTTATCAAGGACATTGAAGAGTATTGCTGATGTGACTAAATCTGAGAAAATCCAGTCTCCTTTATTCACTGACTTAACCCCTGATCTGTGCTCACAGCAGAGGAGATGTTAAATATTCTCTGAAGTATCCTTGAAGATCACTAAAGTTTGGGTTTCAAAGACTATGCTGAAATGAGTGAAGAGGTCTTTTCATTCTCTTGCATCATGTGCATCAATAGTATTAATGTATCATCTGTGGTCTCAATTGTTGGGTATTGGGTTTTTTTTAATCTTCTCTTCTATGCCTCAAATGTCATCTTTTCCATTTCTGTATCAGTATTTTCTTTCAGAAGCTCAGATAATTAGTTTTAAAAACATAGTTTCTTATCTGACTTTGTATATTAGTTTAAGGTGTTGATCCTGAGAGGTGCTGAGCACCAGCAGCTTTCAGTGAAATCAATAGAAGTGGAGGGTTTTGATAGCATTTCAGGACAGGCCTTAAGCTTGTAAGCAGGATAATTGAAAATAGTGAAGTAACTTTATTACTTTTAGAGTTGGTCAGAAATTTTCACCAAAAATCTCAATTTTTGCCAGAATTCTAAGGGTTATTGTCTGAAAACAAGCATTTTCAGTTTTTCTACGAACCCAGCCCTCCTCCCCCAAACAATTTTGTTGTTGTTGAAGAAAATAACATTTTCATTTTTATCAAAAATTTTCACTGGAAGGGGGAGATAATTTCACTACTAGCTCTAATTATTTTGACACTACTTTCAATAACAATACCCTTCAATAGGGAATTAAAATCTGGATTGAATTATGAAAATATTTCCTAGTGTCTTACTCTGTCATTTGCTCTGTGCAAAAATCAAATCTATTGGCATTCTGTATTGAAATATCCTATGTACTTTAATTTTATTTATAAAAAGCCAACATTTATTTTGCAACTCCTTTGCTTTGATTTCTTCTTACAGTCCCAACAAAGCAGAATTCATTAGAGCTAAATATCAAATGTTAGCATTTGTTCATCGCTTGCCATGCCGAGAAGACGACAGTGTTACTGCCAAGGACCTTAGTAAGGTAAGTTTTGCTTTCTTTCAGTTTGTGGACGGGAACAAAACAGCTTGCAGTTGTCACAAGATACTGCAAGACTGATACCTGAGTAGACTTGAATTACTCTGATCTTAATATGAAAGATAACTAGTATCTCCATGGTACTGCACTTTTGTGTATACAAATGTATTAAGCATTCAAACTTAACCTTGAAGGGAAATATTTTTCAACAGTGTCTGATTGGCACTAACAGAAGTTATATATGGATGTTAGAGAACCCCAGGCCTCAAGTTAACTGACCCACCTTCCTAGAAACTGTTGGAAAGTAAAATATTCAATGGCTATATGGCTAGTTTTTTTAATATCTGTTCCTAATACAGTGAAGATGACTGACTCATTGTTCTTGTGTATCCAGATTTTTAACAGACAGTCCTTTTTGTTTTTCAGCAACTCCATTCCAGTGTGAGGACAGGGAATCTGGAGACGTGCTTGAGATTACTCTCTCTAGGAGCTCAGGCCAACTTTTTTCATCCTGTATGAAAACCTTTTTTATTAGCTTGGTGTTAGATCAATTCTTAGTCTGTCATTATATTTATGTTGGTTTCAGCTGACATACATTTTATATCAGTCACGTATTCAGACCTGCCGATTGAACATAAGCATGTGTGGTTTTTAATGACTTTTTAGGAGAAAGGAAACACCCCGCTTCATGTTGCTGCCAAAGCAGGACAGATTTTACAGGCAGAGTTGTTGGCAGTCTATGGTGCTGACCCTGGCACACAAGACTCCAGTGGAAAAACTCCAGTTGACTATGCAAGGTAAATGGCTTTGATGTTTTGATTTTTAATCTTGATTTTAAATAAAAAAAAAAAAGGTAAATTATCACCTCTCCCAGGTTCTCTGGGTATCCTGACAGACATTTAAGTTCACAATTAAACCTCAAATGAGTGCTTTTCCCAGGATAAAGTAAATGCACACAGAACAAATAAAATATCTCGTCTTCAACCTAAGAGAACAGATTGGCCGTGCAGGGTCTCAGAAGGGCTTTGCCCTACCAGCTAAATGGCTCTCTAGTACCGGTGGGGACTCAATTCCAAATTCCCTAGCAAAGAACACACTGTAGGCAGCTTCCTCTCTTTTGCATCAAGGGAGCTCCAGCGGCATGAGTGCCTGTATGATTTCAAGTGCAGCAATATGGCAAAGGAAGATGCACATCTAAGTAACCAGATCTCAAATAATACGTTATTTATTTGTATTACTGTAGCAAGACTTAGCATGCATTGTGTGTATAAAATTACAGACAAGCTACCAAGCTAAGGCTGTATTCCAAACAATTCCAGTAGCAGCAAGATTCAGAAGTCGTGTAGTCTCAATGCTTGGATTTATTTATTGGTTTGGAAATGGTATATAAGGAGACACCAAGGACAGAACAAATCTTCCGTTGGAATCGGATACCATGTACCAGAGTTGTTGCCACAGCTGTTATTCCAATGCTAAACTGGACACGGTTGGTTTACCATCTCAAAAACTGCTCAGAAAAGACTATTCTGCCTGTTTTGGATAAATTGTTAATCAGCTTCTCTAGCAGGTAGATAAGCAAAGCTATTCCAGAATACTCAGCAACTCATTTTGAACAGATCAGAAAAGTCTAATTCCCTTTTAGTATTTACTTCTGAAGATTCTCTTGTGATTCTGACACCCTTTGGAAAAATCTCAAACACATACTAAATTGAAAATGTAGTAGTGATCTGATGTTGTATTCATGATGCTAAATTTAATCTTTTCAGAGCAATTTTTGAACCTTTACATTTTATAGCCAGTGAATCATAAATGAATGCCATTTTCTGTTTTATGTCTAATAGACAAGGAGGGCACCATGAATTGGCAGAGCGCCTTGTAGAAATACAGTATGAACTTACTGACAGACTAGCATTCTATCTCTGTGGCAGGAAACCAGGTGAGTACAAAAAAACTATCCCAAAAAAGTGTTGTTTTTCAAATAGTGATTATTTGAATAGACAAACTAAAAAGAATATGACACCCATGTCATTGATGTTAAAACTAGCCCCATGAGATCATTTATAAAAATTCTCAAGTCTGTTAAAAATAGGCATGAAATCATAGAACAGCAAAGGAAATGTTAGTGGCTTAAATTAGAGATGGTACAATTAAAATTTGAATTACATTTTTGAGTGTTGCTAGACATAATGGTAAACTAAAATCCCCTTTTTGTTGTAACACAACATGCATTCTGTCTCCAATACCCCATGCTCTGACTGGTAGGGTTATAGGGGTCACGAGGTACTGGGTGATTAAGTGACAGAATCTGCTTAAGAGCTACCGAAGGCTACAAAAGAAACTATCATGGAGTGAGATGCAGCATGTTCCCACAGCTGGCTAATAGACAGGAGACTTAGTAGGAATAAATGGTCAGTTTTTGTCATGGCAAGAGGTTACGAGGGTGTCTCCCAGTTCTGTGCTGGGTCCAGTGGTGTTCAATATATTAACAATCTGGATAAGTGGGTGAACAATGAGGTAGCAAAATTTTCAGATGACACACAGTTATTTAGGTTAGTCAAGTCCAGAAAGAACTAAAGAACTTCAGAAGGCCCAACCAATCTACGTGAATGGGCAACACACTGGCAAGTAAAGCTCAATATTGATGAACGCAAAATAATGCACATTGGAATGAAAACCTTAAACTACTCATACGCCTTTCACAGCTCTAAATTAACTATCAACTCAGGAAAGGGACCTGAATGTCATTGTAGACAGCTCAATGAAGACCTCTGCTCAACATGTGGTCAATAAATGTGATCTAAGGATACATAAGGAATGGGATGGAGAATAACATGGAAAATATAATGCCATTATATAAATAAATGGTGTGCCTCACCTATATTCTGTAGTACTGGTCACCCCATCTCAAAATAGATGTTGCAGGATTAGAGGGTGCTCAGAGAAGGGTGACAAATTATTAGGGGCAAAGAAAAAATCATAGAGAGAGATTGGGATTCTTTACTTTAGAAAGGAGATGAATAAGGGGAGACATGATGAAAGTATATAAAATAATGAATGGTCTGAAGAAGGTAAACTTTGAGCTTCTATTCTCTGTGTCTCACGATACAAAAGCAAGGGGACGTTTAGTGAAATCTAAATGTGGCAAAAGGAAATACTTTTTCAAACAACACATAATTAAACTATGGAACTTCTTGTCACAGGATGTCATTGAGGTCCAAGTCTTAGTATATTTCACAAAAGGATTGGATATTGACATGGATAACCAGACTATCGAACATTGTTAGTTAATGCTAACAAATTTTGGAAGAAGCCTTATGCTTCAGGGCTTAAGACACTCTAACTGTTGGGGATTAGGAGGAAACCTAATGTGGGAGGCCAATCATCCTGCTTCTGCTAAATGCAGATTCCCTTTCTGCAGGTTGCAGAGCTAAGATCTGTGACTTTAAACAGTCTAGTAGTAAAACAAATATGTTATATAGTCTAATAAAACTGAGAAATGTAGGCCAGTAACAGTGGTTGTTTGAAACACATCCTAAGTATTTTAACATTTAGCTTAACTCAATTTCAGATCACAACAATGGACAACACTTTATTATACCTCAAATGGCAGACAGGTAAGACTGCTGATTGAATAGCATGTATTTGAATAAATATCAAATAATTAATAATTGGTACTTTAAATTTTTGAATTTTCTATTGAAATATCTTTCAACTCTCTTGTCACTACACTGTGTTTATTCCTTTTTTGACACGTTTGGTCCATCATATGAGCTTTTCTGCTTTAGTACTTTAGAATCTGAGGAAAACTAGAAAAGTAAAAGGGTGTGAAATTTATCAGTTAGGTATGTGAAAGAAAATGCACAAGTAGTGTTGGAAAGCAAACTTGATTGATAATATCAATAATTGCTCTTGAACTTGTATCCTGATACAGCACTGTAAGACTTAAATTTTCAGGAAAATGGTGTCTTTTCTAGTAAACTTTTTGTAGTGTTGGCTGTGCTAGTGATAAGAACTTAGGAATGTAAAGGTCATGTTTATTTAAAAGAAATATAAAGAGTTAACATATCATAACAAAGTCCATATATTTTTCTTTTATTGCTGTGCAATTGGAAATAAGACGGCTGTAAGTAAACAGACTTCAGTTTTTTTGCAAACACACTAATGAATGTAACAAAGTTGCTTTAAAAAAAACTTTAATTAAAACCAGTTAATCTTCAGTTAGATATACAGGTGATGAGTATAGTTTTGTACAATACTTTATGGTGCAGTAGGGTCTTTTTCCACTAATAGTAATACTTAGCTCTTATGTAGGGGTATGTCTATACTTACCTCCGGGTTCGGCGGTAAGCAATCGATCTTCTGGGATCGATTTATCGTGTCTTGTCTAGATGCGATAAATCGATCCCGGAAGTGCTCGCCGTCGACACTGGTACTCCTGCTCCGCGAGAGGAGTACGCGGAGTCGACGGGGGAGCCTGCCTGCCGCGTGTGGACCCGCGGTAAGTACCTTGTAGTTCGAACTAAGATACTTCGACTTCAGCTACATTATTCACGTAGCTGAAGTTGCATATCTTAGTTCGAACTGGGGGGTTAGTGTGGACCAGCCCTAAGACTCCTCATCCATAGCTCTCAAAGCACTTTACAGAGCAAGGTGAGTTTCTGCAGCCCAGAATCTCACATTCTGGACATCTGGGCTGCTTTGCTGTCTCTGCAGCTCACTGAGACGGAGTTTTGGAGCTGAGTGGTCAGGCTACACCCCCTCAGTTCTTGTTAGCTTCCTTTCTCTGTCTCCATGGCAGCATGCGTACGGTTTTTACAGCTCCTGCCTTCACATCTGCCTAAGGGGAACTTTTTTTTGACAAAATCTGGCACAGTGGTGAGCAGTAATTTCTCTCTCTTCTCCCCCCCCACCCCCCGCCTCTGAGCCAGTTTTTTAGCCAGGTGTTGGAATGCCTTCAGAGCCTCAGATGCAGTACCTGTCTGCTTCTTCCTCTGAACCTTTGAGGTATGGCAGAGCAGCCTGAAAAACACCAAATGAAATCCGAAAGGTGCTCCATCTGTGATACTGTCCTCCCAGGCTCGACAAACATTGAGTTGTGCCCAGCCTACCTCCAGTCTTCCTTCCTTCCTTCCTTCCCTAATGTTAGGTCCCGGGGCATGTGGGATCCCATGCTCACTGGAGCAGCCGCAACTACAACCTTGGAAAAATGGACCAGGAGTCTATGTGCAGAACAGGGAGAGACTCCATGGACAAGGAGGATCCTAGTCAGCCAACTCAGGGAGTAAGTTCCAAAGGACCTCTGGAGAACAAAGGGCAGGCTTGTGGGGGTCACAGACCTCCCTTTCCCCTGCCCCCCCCAGTCCTAAAAGGGTCCTGAGCACCATGGGAAAAGGAATAGGGCTCATAAACACCCTCCCTCCTTTCCAATTCAGGTTGTCCTCAGGTCTTTACGAAGATGTGGGTGGTAGTCACAGCCAGGTTCAGGTCACAGGAGATCCACCTGTACCCCTTCCTGGATGCCATCTTTAATTAGAGCTCCATCCCCAGCACACAGAGCTACGTCCCTGACCTTGAATGTCCTGCAGGTGCATGGTTTTATCGACATCAAAAAAACAACCACCCTCTTTGATGGCATCCAACCAAATAACTCACTTGGGTGTGGACATAGAGGCCTCAGTAGCAAAGATATCTCCATCTCTAGAGAGATTCCAGAAAATTCAAGACCTCCTCTCATTGTTTTGGAGCTGCAGTAGGCCCTGATTGCACTGAGTCTTCAACTGCTAGGCCTCCTAGTGTTGTGCATAGGGATCACTCCATGGGTGCAATCACATATCCAGTGACTTCAAGGCTTCATCTTAAAGGTATGATACTCCCCAGAACGTATGAAAAATCAAGTGAGAGTTCCGGCACATGGTGGTCAGCCCAGGGCAGTGTCTGCAATGGGCATGCCCATATGCTTTCCAGATCCCCTGATCCTCACAACCAACACGAGCCTGGAGGGCTGGGGAGCACATCTGGGGTCTCAAACAGCTCATGGCATTGGAACCTGGAGGAAAGAACCAACACCATAAACCTTCTAGAACTAAAAATGCTCAAGCTGACCCTACGAAGGATCCAGTTCAGCCTAGAGGGGAACCACGTCCTGATTGTCAGACAATATGATCACAGCCACATACAAGAACAATCTAGGGGGAACAAGAAGCCCAGCGCTACATGCTGAAGCAATGCAAATCACACAGTGGGTGGAGCAGTCTCTCCTTTCCCTCAAGGCAGCTCACATAAAGAGAGACCTGAACCAGAAGGCAGACTGGCTCAGCAGGCTCAAGGTGAACAGCTCCAAGTGGGGCCTGAATTAGGATGTCTTAGGGTTAATCATACGATCATTCAGCCTGCCCTCAACCAGCTTATTTGTGAACCATGTGAATGTGAAGACACTAGAGCACTTTACCAGGGAAGTGGACCCCAGATCCATGGGAACAGATGCCCTATTGCACTGATGGCTAAAGGGTCTGCTCTATGCATTTCCACCCTTCCCATTATTAGGGAAGATGGTCAAGAAAATAATATGAGAATGGGAAACAGTAATATTGATAAACCCACATTGGATGAGGAGACCCTGGTTTTGGGACTTGTTAGGGCTGAAATTGGGACTGCTGCTACAGCTCCCAATGGGACAGGACATCCTCCCATAAGGTCCTTCTGCTTTATCTGGACCTGAACCAGCTGTATCGAACAGCCTGGCTATTGAAAGGGAAGCACTAGTATCATTGAGTCTGTCCTCCAAAGTCATCAGAACACTTCTTTCTCCTAGAAGAGTATCAACCTTGAAAGCATACTCCTCTGTCTGAACCAAGTTTTGCATCTCGTGCCAGGAACATGAAGCAAACCCAAGAAATTCGGGAATTCTGGCTATCTTGGGTTTTCTCCAAGAAGTTTTTGACAAAGGTCTCCAGCCCAACACTGTTATTTGTCAGGTGTCTGCCCTTAGTAGTGCGATGTTTTCAGGATCCACAGGTTCTCTGGCAAAGAACCCCCACGTAGCCAGATTCCTTAGGGAAGTGCAGTTAGCCAGTCTGGCAGTTAGAACTTTTTTTCCCAAGTGGGACTGAGAGCCCTGACAAACCCTTCAAACCACTGATGTCAGTGTCAGCATTTTATTTGTCCATCAAAACTTGTTTTGATAGCCATCACGTCCAACAGGCAAGCATTGGAGCTGGCAGTGCTCTCTATGCAGGAACTTTGCGGCATGTTTCATGAGGACAAAGTGGTGCTCAGAATTCCAAAATCATTGGTCCCGAAGGTGAGCTCTTCTTTCCACGGTTCCAAAGAGATGGTTCTACCTTTATTCTGTCCAAGCATCCCACCACGGAGAGGTGGCACACCTTAGATGTCAGAAGGGCTCTGAAAAGTTGCCTTGAACAGAGTCCACAAGGAGATCAGGTGCCTTGTTTGTATCCTTCCATGAAAGGACTCAGAGCTTTCATTTCTGTATTGGTAGTGGATTAGACTATCCATTGTGGAAGCAAAAAAAGCATTGGAGATTCCAGTTCCAGAATGTTAGAGCATGCTCCATGTGATCCCTGGCGACCTCATGGGCAGAAAGAGTTAGTGCCTCCACAGCAGAAATTTGTAATGCTGGTCAAATGCTCCCACCTTTATTAAGCACTACTAGCTGGACTTCCTGGCCTCTACAGAGGCATCCTTTGGCAGGAAGGTGCAGCAGGTGGTGGACCAGAAATGATTGCGCCCTTTGAGCAAATATTATAGATGGAGATGGATACCGTTTTCCTTTTTCTGCCCTTTTCTATAACATTCTTCCCAGACATCAGGAATTGTGGGAGATGCTGGGCTGCAGAGCAGGAAATTTCTTACCAATAATTTCCTTTCTGCTAGCAGCATTTCCCACAATTGTATCCACACTGGATGGCTCATCAGTCAAAGATCAGATATTAAGTGCGATCATTACCATATGACAATCTTCCTTGGTCTAATATACATAGTTCATTATCTGTGTAATATTTATTTGTTAATGATGTTATGCAAGTTTTACAGCTTGGAAATAACTCATCTGGAAGCAAGCAGAAGCTGAGGGGGCATGGCTGTGTGGCTCCAAAACTCTGATTTGCCTCCGTGAGCTACAGAGAAAGGAGAGCAGCCCAGACCTAAAGAATTGTGGGAGATACTGCTAGCGGAAAGGAAACTATTGGTAAGAAATTTCCCTATCAAAAGCCCCATTTTACATAGGGTGAAACTGAGGCAAAGAGAAGTGAAGTGATTTGTTCAAGATCACATATCAGGTCATACGGCCTGCAGTAGAACTTTGGTCTCTCACTGCTGTATAGTGCCCTCTCCATTGGGCATTTCTTCCTCTTTATCCTCATCTAGGATAATTGCTTGCAGGAACTTACCCCAGAGCCTTCCATCAAACTACCTTATTTGAGTCTTTCCTTCACAAAGTTCCTTGGAAGAAGTTCTACTGAAAGGATTTTGTGTCTGTGCTGGGGGGATTCCACCCAGTAATATACAGTGAGCTCACAATTTGTTGACTTTCTGGGTCTGGGGTTTCCACATTTAGTTCTGTTTTTGTTCTAACCACAAAGTTTGCAATTTGTGTGTCAATCTTGAGACAGGAAGCTAATATCAGAGGATTGCTTCATAGTTAGTCAATACAATACATCTTGTGGGTGACTTTGAGATGAGGCCTTAGTGCTTTAACACATTTATCCACCTGGTGGTACCCACCTCTCCCACTAATCAAGTAAAATAATCTTTGTGGGTTTATTACAGCTGTTCATTAGTTGACAGGACATTTTTTTTTAGGGCATGGTCAGAAGAGTATTTATTTTTAAACTTCCCTCTAGGAGCATTTCAGTGTCCTATAACACATTCTGCCTCTTTAGATGTGCAGGATTGCCATTTGGAATTTTAATAGCCACTTGATTCTGTGTGTCCTGGAACAACTATGTACAAGAAATCCAAGGACAACCACACTTATCTTCATAGTAACCACCGCAAACACAGCAAGAAATCTGTTGCCTACAGCCAGGCACTCGGATATCACAGTCCGGGATATACACCTTAACACACTCAAAACCATCTTCACTAAACAAGGACGCTCTACCAGAGAAGTAAATCGCATCATGGAACAGGCCGCCCAAACATCCCAAGAGAACCTGTTTCAATACAGAAATAAAACAAAACCCCCCAACCACACACCCCTAGTTGTCACCTTCAACCCCACACTGGAACCCATACGGGGTATCATCAAAGAGGTACAACCCATACTTGATGGGGACCCTATCTTGAAAGAAATCTTTCTTGAACCCCTTCTTCTGACCTTCAAACAACCCCTCAACTTCATCATCAGAAGCAAGCTCCCCACAGACACACCCGGACACACCAACTCAGAGCAGCACCAGGCCTTGCCAGAAGAACAGATGCAAAACCTGCATCCATAGCTCCATTGCTACAATTATTGTCGTCCTCCCACAACACACCTTTCAAGACCTCTGGGTCCTACACATGCCTATCTCAACATGTGGTGTACCTTATCTGGTGCACTAAATGCTCCAATAACAACTATGTGGTGAAACCAGACAATCACTATGCTCTCAAATAAACTCTCACAGAAAAATGATAAAAGACAAAAACACCCCCGTCACATGTGAGTGAAAACTGGTCACAAAGCGACCCCTCTGTATCTGACCTGTCAATCCGCATTCTCAAAGGAAATCTGCACAACATCTTCAAAAGATGAGCCAGAGAGCTTAAATTCATAACTTTGCTAGACACTGAAAATCATGTCTTAAAAAAGACACTGGATTTATGGTTTATTAAAACAATATGTAACCCACTAACCCCCCTTTTTTTGTTCTATGACTACAGGGGTGGTAACAAACCACTTCACCTTGAATGGTCACTTAGAACAGTGTTTCTCAACAACCAGTCCATGGACTGGCACCGGTCCCTGAGATCTTCCTGACACAATTTAGGAAGGCAGCAAGCTGGTGCCTGGTATCAAAAAGGTTGAGAAACACTGCCTTAGAATATGTGCTAAGTACTTATGCTAAACTATCTGTTCCATCTCATATTTAGCTGTGATGCTCGGAGTGCCTTTCCCAGACCTGAAGAAGAGCTTTGTGTAGCTCAAAAGCTTGTTTCTCTCACCAACAGAAGTTGGTTCTATAAAAGATATTATCACACCCACCTTGTCTCTCTAATATCCTGGGACCAACATAGCTACAACAACGTTGCATGCATGTACCTGAAATGTAAGTTAAACTCTTAGGGCTTTTCTACATTCCTGATGTAAATCCATGTGGTGGATGCACTCTCCAGAATAAGAGCATCTGCACGTGGAGAAAATCAGGAATGGTTAATCTGCCTTAAATTTACACTCTGCCTTATTTTGGATTAATTTTCATGTGTAAACAAGCCCTTAGAGTTTGAAAAAATGTGTAGTCTTTGTAACATTCAAAGAAGTGTCAAATGAAAATGAACTGACTTTTTATGGAGAAACTTAGCAATAAAGAATTGCTGTTCATACTGACCTCTTCATTGTTGTAGATATATAGTGATCACTTCTTGTTTTCATAGCAGTCTAGATTTGTCTGAATTGGCAAAAGCAGCTAAGAAGAAGCTTCAGTCTGTAAGTAAAGCATCTACTTAACCTATGCTATGCCACATGTAGTCTTAGGGTACATCTATACCAGGGGTAGGCAACCTATGGCACGTGTGCCAAAGGCGGCACACGAGCTGATTTTTCACTGGCACTCACACTGCCCGAGTCCTGGCCACCGGTCCGGGGGGCTCTGCATTTTAATTTAATTTTAAATGAAGCTTCTTAAACATTTTAAAAACCTTTATTTACTTTACATACAACAATAGTTTAGTTATATATTATAGACTTATAGAAAGAGACCTTCTAAAAACGTTAAAATATATTCCTGGCACGCGAAACCTTAAATTAGAGTGAATAAATGACGATTCGGCACAGCATTTCTGAAAGGTTGCCGACCCCTGGTTTACACAATCTCAGATCTCTCAACAGGTCTCTCATTCCAAACATAAGCATCTCTCTTGAACTGTTCACATTAGGAATAAATTCTGGAACAAATAATCACTACTTAAGCCTGCTCTGCTCACTTAATCCTAGAAATACCTCCCTCTCTCCTCCCCCAATATATTATTATTGGAAGGGCTGGGACTCTTGTGAGGTCAGGAAAAAAAGTCAGTTTTCCTTTATCTGTACTGGCTGGCTGTAGAACAGGCCTGATCTGTCTAGAGCAGGGGGTCTCAAACTTCATTGCACCGCGACCCCCTTCTGACAACAAAAATTACTATATGACCCCAGGAGAGGGGACTGAAGCCTGAGCCCTGCTGGGGGGTAGGGGAGAGCAAAGCCAAAGGGCTTCAGCCCTGGGCGGGGGGGCCTGTAACCTGAGCCCCGCTGCCCAGGGCTGAAGCCCTTGGGCTTCGGCTTCAGCACCAGGCGGTAGGGCTCAGGACTCAGCTTCAGCCCATGTGGTGGGGGTCCAACCACAGCAAGTCTAACGCCAGCCCTGGCAACCCCATTAAAGTGGGGTCGCGACCCACAGTTTGAGAACCGCTGGTCTAGATCCAGCACCCAGCAGGCTCTGACGCTGCTTTGGAAATTGAACAGCTTCACTCTGGCAGTCAGTCAGTGCTTCCTGGACTGCAAAAGTAACAGATTGTCTGTCTCTCGAGTACAGACATGCACATTTGCTTTCTGCAGCATAAGAGATTTTGTGGGGTTGATTTATTGCTACCGAATCCTTAATCACTTCACTCTTATTTTTAGCTAAGTAACCACTTATTTGAAGAACTTGCCATGGATGTATATGATGAAGTTGACAGGCGGGAAACAGACGCAGGTGAATAAGGCTTTCTGGAATATATATGTAGTTAAAACTTGAAATGCTATGTTACACATAAGGTGCTAGTGCCACTAAATGCTATGGGTGAAGTAATTTTTGTGTTTAGGAGTTGATTGGTACTTAGTTTCTACTACATGTAATGAGTGTTCAGTTTTATATTGGGGTATAAAATATGTTTTTCTAATTATTTTACTGCGTGGAGAACTCTCAGAAAAAGCAGTTCCTTTGACTCTGATTACGCTTAGTGTTGAAACTCTGATCTCTTGATCTAGTTCAATGAGTAGATGTTTCATGGGGTGAAGCTGCTCCAACACTGGCTCTGTTTTCTCTGTAAACAGTTTGGCTTGCTACTCAGAATCACAGTACACTGGTGACTGAGACCACGCTTGTCCCTTTTCTTCCTGTAAATCCTGAGTATTCTTCAACACGGAATCAGGTAAGTTATCTTGTTTGTGAGTGTTACAAAAGAGTTTTATTAACGTCGTGCAGGTGTTTACATTAATAAACTGGGGGGAAAGGGACACTCCACTTAAAAGAGTTTACAGTAGTTTCACATTACAACTGCCCTGATTTTTGGTTGTACAGTTACATTTCCCTAATTTTTTTAAAAAGTATTCCTCTCCCTTATTTGAATCTTTCACAAAGCAGGGGAAACTGAGTAATCAACTCACCATACAGGGAAAATGATGAAACTGAATGAAACAAAGTAGGGAAAAATAGAGGCACTGTTTCCCATATCTTTCTGTTACAGTAATCTTGGGTGTTACTTGTAGCAAGTGTGTGTGTGTGTGTGTGTGTGTAATTAAAATAAATACAGAAGTGTGATTAAGCAGATGGTGACGCTTCAATTTTTTTTGCAACCAATGTATTTTAAGATAAGGTACTATATTAATGTTAATACAAAAAGTTAACTATTGTAAACACACTAATATTGCTTCTAGGTAGTCACCTTTGTATGCAGTTTTTATGAAAACAAATGTTTGCAGGACATTTTTAAAACCCTGAGAATGGGGTTATAATATAAATACAAAGAGCTTTAATTACGATGCACAAATGCTATTACTATGTATCTGTTTTGCCAAGAAATTGCTGTGTCCATAAATGGTATCCTGTGTAACTTTTTGCATCTTGTTCTATGTTTTAGGGAAGACAGAAACTAGCTCGGTTTAATGCCCATGAATTTGCTACACTAGTTATAGACATTCTAAGTGATGCCAAGCGAAGACAACAAGGGAATCCTGTCACTGGCTCTAAAGGTGAATATGTTTTTGACTAATTGTCTAATCTTCTATACTTGCTGTGGTATCACTGAAATTACAGTTATACTAATTCATTATCTAGAAGTACATCATGTGACTTGATCATTTTTTGAAATGAGTAAACAAATTAAAGTCATCACTATAAAGCGATGGGTGTATGATTTGATTAATGTAAAGAGGCCAGTATTGTTTGCTGATGACAGCGCATTTGAGCTCAAGAGTAATGCTTAATTATAGAAGACTTGAATATTAAGGGTGATATTTCTAACAAAATGGACTTGAGACATGTACGCAATCCAGAAGTGTCCTTTCTGTTGGTATAGAACAGCATTCTGTGGAATTCCCCAGGTGGCTTCCTAAGTCTTTGGAGACCAGAAATTCTTTAACTGTATCTCTACCAGTCAATGGAATGTTGATCAGGAAAATGCCAGTGTTATAAGGATTATGGACACTTGTCTAAATGTGGGACTCTGCTTGAGAACATGCTTTAGAACTTGCTAAGTGTTAGGTTGCCTGCAAATGCTCACTTTCTGTGCTGTTTGAGCATATCTGAAGTTCGCTGATATCAAAGAGTACAACCATTTAAAACAGCAATCAAAAAGTAACACACAGCTGTGGTTCCAACACTGGAGATATGAAGCAAACATTTAAATACAAAAATATTCTCTCTAAAGAGATGCCAAAAGATCATATTTTATGATACAATTTCCCTGTATTACCCAACTGAATAGTGATGTAGATATGTTGGCAATCTCGTTCTATTTTGTACCTTATTTTCTTCACTGTGTGAAGTGTGTTAAGTTACCTCGTAAACCTTAATTCTCCTTAGTTACTTGAAGTTACCTAAATACTTCAAGGAGGTCAAAGGAATAAAATTAAAGACTGCAGAATTAATCTTTCACTGCTACTGTAGATTTGGCTGTTGTAGGTAATGATAATCTAGTCACACTAGATGGCGCTAACTTAATATTTTTCTTTTTCTGTTAGAAACAGAATAATTTTTTGTCCTAACATTTCTCCTCATGTTTTCTTTTAGTCTGCTTGAAGTTCTTCTGATATTATTAAACAACATAAACCAATTCTGCATACAAATCCTAATTAACTCATGTTTGTTTATAGAAAATGTGGAACTGATATTGAAAGCTATCAACAGTCAGCATAGTAGTGAGAGTCAAGATAACGACCAGCCTGATTATGACAGTGTTGCGTCAGATGAAGATACAGATCTGGAAGCAAATGCAGCAAAAGCAAATAGACAGAAGGTAGGTTTAGTAATGATGTAGGCTATTAAACCCCGTTCTTGCAAATACTTAATGTACGTGCTTACATTGAAATCAATTGGAGAACTCATGTGAGTTAAGTTAAACACATGTGTAAATGTTCATGGGATTAGGGCCTCAATGATTATTTCAACTCCATTTCACAGTCGCTTCCCACATTCTATAAAATCTCTATGCAGGATCAGAAATACGACTTAAAACATTTGTAAATGAAGCATTAATAAAACAGTTCTAAAAATGAGTCCCTTACAGAATTTATTTTATTTGGAGACAAACTATGGACCCAATAGCACAAAAACAAAAGCACTTCAGCAGTTAGTGTATTATGTCACTTGGCTTCTTTCATCCGAATATCTCAAAATACTTTACATTAAATTTCACCTACATATCAATGAGATAGCAAGTACAGATGGATAAATGAACGCTGAGAGATGAAATAATTCCTGAAAATAATCCAATAAAACAGGGAATAGAACGTAACAATCTTGGCTTCCTCACCTGCTCTAACCCATAAACTAATGTGAATAGTGTGAGCCAGAATATCAAATACTAGTCCATGCATTTTTTTTAATCAAAATCTTTATTAAATACCATCCTTTTCTTGTTTGAAATCCCGAGGCTAATATTATTGCATGTAAATGAGCTAAGAATTAATTGAGACCAGGTTTCTTCTGAGATGGTCCATAGCTTTAGTTGTGTAAAGTGTGCTGTTAGGTGGGGTTGTTACTTTCCTCGGTGACTCGTGTGAAGTCAGTTTTGGAAATCTGTTAAAATCATTGCTGTTTTGCTTCCTTACGGTAGATTGTCTGTCTTATAGGTGTGGTAAATATTTTATCTGATGATTTATTTTATTTATAGAGCCTGGATTCCGACTCGTCAGATGGACCAGTGACAGCACAAGAATACATGCAAGTTAAGAATGCTTTGGTGGCTTCTGAGGTAAAGATACAGCAGTTAATGAAGGTGAACATCAACTTGAGTGATGAACTGAGAACCATGCAGAAAAAGGTAACAAGTATAGTAACATAACTTCATTAGCTATAGGATTTTAATTTTGCTTATTTTTTAAATAAATATAAAATAAAGGACCATGTGTGAAGACCAGTCAAAATATTTTGAGAAATTAAAACTATTTTGGAATTGATGTAACAAAAATGAGTATATCCATGCAGAGCAAACTCTTAATGTTTCATCTCTCATGGAAGGTATTATTGGGAACTGTTTAGTTCAACCTCATTGATTTTTCCTTATTCCCAAACCATTGTTTAAAAAAAACTCATTCCATTGTCTTGTTTCAAAATGAGCAATTGTTTGAGGCTTTGGAAACAGCTGATAGTAGACGGGCATAAAGTGCACCTTCTGTTTTCTGTTAGGTCAGTTATTTAATCCAATAATAAGGGCTAGTGCTTATATTCATTTTAAAAGTCTCTATTGCCGGCAAGACCAGTTTAGCATATGTTAAAAGTATACATATGTCAAGTTAAAGCCAGGCTACCAGACCTTCAAATCCTAGTGTAGAAAAGGTCACTGTGTCCCAACAGGCCAGTAACAAATATAGTACATTACATGCTTGCAAATTAGTTGTCTTCATCGAACTAGCTATAATGTTGTGTCTACATGTATGCTAAGATATCTGCTAGGTTTTAAGAAAACATAGACAGCTTTATGGGACGATCTCCACCAAACAGAGTGACTGGAAACTAAGGTGCAAAAGTTCATTGCAAGGGAAGAAAATAGAATTGCTGAAAATGGAAAAGACCCACTAGATCTCTTGGTGCATAAACTTCCTCTGTCTGCAGGCTATCAGTTACTGATACTAGAAAGTCATTAAGATTCTAGAATTTAACTAGTTGGCCGACATTCAAATAGATGAGGTAAGATCTAGTACCCAAAACATACAGGATTAGTTGTATGTTTTTTCAGTGGGTCAGTGTACATGTGGATTCCTTTTCAAAACCTATAACTAATTGCTTACTCTTAGTATTTGTTTTTGGTTTTATTTTTTTGGTGATCTGCACTGTCTGTTCTTTATTTTGGATTTGTTTGCCATGCTGTCCTGTCTACTTTGTCAGGAAGGGATTCCATTAATTGACATAAAACCAGTCCCCCTTGAAGTTGCGCAGCTGTGGAATGGCACATAATTGTAACTGCAGTATTCTATAATTGTAGAGAAAACCAGTCCAGAGGTGCTGTCAAGCTACAGTACTGGAGATGTCAACTTTCCTAAGGTAGCGCAAGAGTTATCATAGACTATCAGGGTTGGAAGGGACCTCAGGAGGTCATCTAGTCCAACCCGCTGCTCAAAGCAGGATCAAGCCCCAGACAGATTTTTGCCCCAGATCCCTAAATGGTCCCCTCAAGGACTGAACTCACAACCCTGGGTTTAGCAGGCCAATGCTCAAACCACTGAGCTATCCCTCCCCCCGTCAATGAGGACTAGAAAGATTTGTCCTACCTGCTTTCTCCAGTGTCCTGACACAATGCCACTGCGCAGTGCTGCTACTTTCAAGAGCCTGGAGTGTTTGTGGGCCTCTGAGCTATTAGGATTTAATACCATTCATGGCTTGAGAATATCTTCAGCTTTATCCCTAACCTGATCAACTGAGCAGTTGGGACATGGTTTCAAGTGTTATTGTCCAAGCTGCTCTCTCACATAGCAGGTAACAGAAGATGCAAAACACATCTGTGCATACAAAGAGGGCAGTTATATGTACAGTTACCTGTTTTTGTCTTTGAGATCTCTGTTGGAACGCAAAATTTATAGAGGAACCTAAGACATCTTATGGGACTTCTTTGCTACTTTTGCAGGTGTCTTGATTAAGCAGCTGTCTGTATCATTTGAATTAATTTTTGGTTTAGAGATAAATTTATGCTTTAAGGAACCTAATCTTAGAAAAAGCTTTTGCTGTAGGAGTGGGGTATCCATTATATATTAGGATTTTAGTACATTGATACAGCATAGTGGGAGGAGACAGGGCCAGATTTTCCTGTGCAGCAGATGAGGGGCATAGGGTGCATCAGAGAGCCAGTCATAGCTCCCTCATTCTGAGGATCAGTTTGTGCTGGCCCCAGATCCAGTGATGTTTAGAACAGCTATGGGGCTGCACTGATTTGTCACTGGCTTAGTGACTTACACCAACGACAGCTAGGCATAGCAAAGCTCATAAGAACGGCCATACTGGGTCAGGTCCATCTAGCCCAGTATCCTGTCTTCCGACAGTGGCCAATGCCAGGTGCCTCAGAGGGAATGAACAGAACAGGTAAGGATCAAGTGATCCATCCCCTGTCGCCCAGTCCCAGCTTCTGGCCAACAGAGGCTAGGGACACCATCCCTGACATGGCTCCTCCACCTTACCCTCTGCTCCAAGGGGAAGGGGGATGGATGGCATAGTACCTAGCTACAGTAGCTTTAGGCCAATAAGAAGTTGCCCTATGGCAGGGTAGTTTTCTGCTGGCCATTTGTGGTCAGAATCTAAATGCTTTGCAGCACCTGAGCAGAGCAAAGGAGCCAGATCTCATTTGAGAATATGGCCCTTGGTCTCTTAATTGGCATAGGTTTATTTGATATTTTTAAGCACAGATTAAATTTAAATGTATAAGCAAAAAATTGTCTGTCTTGTCTAGTTGTCTAGTAGCATGATATGTATCTGATTTCTCACACTTCAGTTACTTGAAAAAGATACCAATTAAAGAAGAGGCAGAGCCTCTATTGGTGTATGTCACTTATGGATGGGTTCTCCCTAAATCGAGTGAAAAGGTGTTCTCATGAAAAACAGATGACTTTCTGACACATGGGCACTTGTTTGTGAACTTAAACAGTGACAGTGGTGAATTGATCTGATATGACAATAGATGAAAAACAGCAGACAGCTGAAATTATACCACACCCGGTTTATAAAATATGTGGTGAAAAATAAAGGGAAAAGGAGATTGTGCAGCATGGACCTGCTTGATTGTATTAAAATGTCAAACTTTTAAGGAGTAGCATTGCTCTTTACTGATCCTTAAATCTCAACACACAATACATGGTATGACAGACTGCACAGAGTGGGAAGAGGCAATATTTTAAATGGCTTCAGGATGCTAGTCAGAATCTTCACTTATGGGTACTGGACAGTGTCAGGCAGACTACAATTTTACAGCACAGACTGATTTTCTTGAAGGTTCACATGACGCAAAGCAAAATGCAAGTAAATACCGAATATTGTGACTCCTAATGAATGGCCCATCAGCTGTCTGAAACCGTATGCTCCATATATTGTTTGAGAAGATGTACATAATATTTAAATATTTGCAGTTTTCTTCATGATGTGTTAATATAGCAAACTTATTCTGAGAAATTTTCTTCTACAACAAAATTTAAATTGCTGCTCTTTTCCCCCACCCACAGATTTTAATAATAGTCTTGTTGGCGTCTTAGAAAGCAGTAGCTGATATCCTGTTTTCATAAGCTTAACTCCACTTTCCTCTTGCTTTGCAAAGCAAGCTCTAGTTTTCTTTGTGCTGTATCTGTGCTATAATTTTAGCAGTTGCATATTCAGAGGCTTTATTTAAGTCATCTTTAAGTTACTGTAGTGACTGTTTGCTGAACTGGAGTGCTTTGCTTGAAAAGAATTTATTTTTCTGTTGTTCAAACAGCCTTCGTGGTAATGAAAAATTTATGTAAAAATACAACTAACCTGGAAATGGATCTTATGCTTTTAACTGCAACAGCCAAATGTAAGATCCAATTTGACTTGCATCCCAACTAAAATAATAGTAAGTTGAAACTGACACTTATAAATCTACCAGACCTGCAGTAAAATATTTTTGTCTAAGCAAATGAAGTAGATTTTAAGAGCGAAAATTCCATTTAAAAATAATAATATCTAGTAACAGCTAGCTGGATTTTTTTTTTAAGGTGACAAGCTGTATTTGTATACTCAGTTTGCTTGCTGTAGAAAAACAAAGTCCCACTGCTAAACATTTCTTTCAGCTTCAAACACTACAGAGTGAAAATACGAACCTCAGAAGACAGGCCACAACCAATATATATCAGGTCCAAACTGGTTCTGAATACACAGACCCCAACAATCATTCTTCTTTAAAGCGACGACCATCTGCACGAGGTAGCAGACCTATGTCTATGTATGAGACTGGATCGGGTCAGAAACCCTACCTCCCAATGGGAGAAGTCACATATCCAGAAGAGAGCATAACAAGACTGCAGCCTTTCCCTCCACATGTAAGTAAAACTGCTAATGCTTCTGCTCTTCTTTGTATGTTCAGCTTTTTCTATTGCAACTCTGTTTGTTTACTTGATTATTTACCAACATCTCTAGACTGTCTGCCTCCTAGTAAAGTAAAACAGTAAGAATTATCACTGTTTGCTGTATTAACATGTCTGCAGGAGCTTGATGGTTTGAAGAATAAAAGCTGTAACATAATTCTCTGATCTGTAAATTGAAGCTTTTGGCTTCTGCTCAGCTATTTCCTTTAGCCACAATATATTTGCCAATATATGCATGCATGAATGTTTCAAAAGTAGGAGAGAAAAACCCAGAATTTAACAAGATATAGGTGTAGTTTGTGGATCTCTGATCTTGGGGCATACAGGTATGTGCTTATATGTAGAACTCTCAAGGAAGAGAATTATTCCAGGAGTGGGTGGGTCAGCTTTTGTGGCCTGCATCATGCGGGAGGTCAGACTAGATGATCATAATGGTCCCTTCTGACCTTAAAGTCTATGAGTCTATGAGAACTTGCAAGCCTTTTGAAAACACTAGGATTGAACTTTGCTGAAGATCGCTCATGAGTAGAAATGCTACATCGAAGCACCCAACCCTTTCTTGGAAGAGAGTTTACTTTCATGGATCTCTCTACAATATAGCTTTTCATTATTGTCTCTTACTTTGTTCGTTTTTAACTCTAGTGTTCACAGCCTAGTTTTTTAGGTGGCCAAGTCTGTCCTGATTAATACTTTCCTAAATTATTAAAGTTCCAATAGTGTGGTCAGCATAGACACTGATTCTGCTCTAAGGAATTTGCATTCTAGACTGACAACAAAAAATACACCAACACTCAAGAGTTCATTCTTTATCATATCTTTTTTTAAATTGCCAGAGGCAGGGGGAAATGTGTGGCAGTATTTTTTTGCTGACATGAATCAGGATTTTAAGGCTTTGTCAATATGTTGTCTGTGAGGCAGCACTATCTTGTATTCTCCTCAATTGCAAACATTAAATGCATTTGAAAGAGACTGCTTAGTTGTTTGAAAGTTGAAATTTCTTTCCTGGCTTGAAAAAAGTGCCATGTGCATATAAAACAAAATGCTTCGTGCAAGCAGTAGTCATGAATGTCTAAAGTATTTTACATGAAGTGCCATTTTGGCAGATGAGCTGAACCATCCGACATTAATGCCACGAGCTTGGATGTTTTTCAGTCTGATGAACAAGTATGGGACTTCTCAAACTGCTGGAAATAATAAAGTGCTTATTAGAAATTCAAACTAGATGATAAAAGTGATATCATCATAGATTATGTTGACTTGCTGTGAAAGATTTCAGTATAAAGTCAGTTCCTGCAGCAAGAAATGTCAGAATTCTTTTGTACACAGCAATTTATTCAAAGTGTAAGAAAGCTTCATAGGTTCCTGAAACTTCTCATTTGTTAACGTCTTGTTGGTTTAGAACTAACAGTTCTAAAGCATTGCTTTCTTTCTTGTGAAACTTGGTTACAGAAACATACTTTTTTTTTTTCCCTTTAATAAAATCTTTCTACTGAATCCTAGTGGGATATATTAGTTAAATGAACGCCTTTGCAGAAGCAGAATTGTAACTTCACATTTTGGTGAATGTATTTGTTCACTTTGGATTCAACACCTTTTAATACTGATACCAGAAGTAGCTTGAAGAAGTCAAATGCATTTTGCCGGAGTTACAAGTCCAGTCTAGCTCAGTCAGTTTTCTCAGTCATTCTGATCATGTCATCTCTTTGATTTATCCAATTTTTAAAATGCACATATGTTTAAAAGTTATTTTCAGAGTATCTGTGGGTTTTTTTTGTTTTCCCGAGTGTTTCTCTCCCCTCCCCCTTTTTTTTTTAGATCGGGAGGAGTGCGTTTGTGACCTCCTCTTCATCTCTGCCTTCCTTCCCCTCCACGCTTTCCTGGTCAAGGGATGAAAGCACACGAAGGGTTAAGTACCTTCTGAATTGGTCTGTTACCTGGAGGAGGTGGCCATCTCCCTGGAAGCCTTGTGCCTCTGTCCTTTCCCCTCTATCTGTTAACTGGCCTTCATCCCTGCATGAAGCAGCACTTCATCACTTTCAGTTTCTTTTGCCACATACTATGGATACACTTGCTTCACTCTTGTCTAACTTCACACCAACCTAAATACCTGTAGCATTTAACACCACGCACAAGTTGCTCCAGATCACTTATCCCACAATATGCTATTGAAAATGAGCTGGTGGCTGAAGAAAAGTAATTTAGCAGGCACTTACTGGCTCATGAAATATCAGTATGTACTTTTTCTGCTGACTAAAATGCATTGCATGGGACACAGGTATGCTCAAAGGGTTAGTAAAAGCTATGGAGCCTGTTACCTCTAGAGGTCACCACTTTGCATCCAGTCCAGGTTGGTACTGATGGACAGAGAGGTTACTTTTTGACAGCTGTTTAGTAGACTGTTTGAAATGAGTGAGCTCTTTGTCCAGTTATATCAGACAAGCATCCATATCACCCACCACTTGGTTTAACATTGTGTAGCCCTTTTACTGGTGGTACTGAAAGAGGCTAAGGCTTGAATGGGCCTGGAGACTGAATTCATTCTTAGCAATGCTCCTTTTAGGTCAGGGTTAAAAGTACATTCATGGCACAATGTTAGAGGTAGCTTATATTGCTGCGGCCTGAGAATCAACAAACGTTGGTTTCTAGGACCTTACAAAAGCACTGCACTGACTTTAAAAAAAAATAAAAAAAAAAAAAAAGAAGCCATTACATTATGGGATTTTAATTGAACTATAAAAGTCTATGGTATCCCAAAGATACCTCTATTTGCATTGTTTCTGACTCATGAATGAACAGTTTTGATTCAGAACTGCAGGGTTCATCGAGACATTATGGTCTAGATAATACTTAGTCCTGCCAGGAGTGCAGGGGACTGGATTAGATGACCTCTTGAGGTCCCTTCCATCCCTATGATTCTGTGATTATGTACGTTTTTATGAAAACATTGAAATATGAAACAGATAAGTATGCTATATTCCAGCGGTTCTCAAACTGTGGGTTGGGATCCCAAAGTGGGTCGCGACTCCATTTTAATGGTGTCGCCATGGCTGGCTTAGACTTGCTGTGGCCCAGGGCCAAAGCCCAAGCCCGAGGGCTTCAGCCCTGGGTAGCGGGGCTAAGATTATAGACCCCCTGCCTGGGGTTGAAGCCCTTGGGCTTCGGCTTTGGCCCCCCGGCTTGGGGAAGTGGGGCTTTGGCTTTGCCTCCCTCCCGGGATGGCGGTGCAATGAAGTTTGAGAACCCCTGCAGTATTCTCATACTTGTTATACACTGTTCCACTGCAGTCTTAAATCCAACCCTATGTGAGGACAATTAATAGAAGCACAGAATGAAGTATCCTCACTACAAAATCGCAAGGTTAGGGATGGTTGGCTAATTGAACAATCTGATACAGTAGACTGGTCATGCCTGATTTATAGACTTTACATTTTGTGTGGGATCTTAGAAATATTTCTATGTATCCAAAAAATTGCAGAATAATGCTATCTGAACAAGCCCCAACTACAAGGTAACCATTGTATAAGAACTGTGCTTTTAACTAATAGATTCTTGCTACACGTTTATTCAGCATATTTCAGAATAATTTATGATTTGAAAACTGATATCTTTTACACACTCTTTGAGCAAGATGACATTCGCATAAGTTTGAATCACCTTGGGTCACCACAGTGAGTGAATTTCATTTCTCATCTGCAGCTTGGATCCGCAGTTGTTAAGTGTCTTTAATGGATGTAACTATTATTGCTATATACTACTTAATATATTTGTATTCTTCCTATACTTTTATGTCTGTTTTATATAAATATATTTATGGGTAGTTTGACAGAACCCATTTTGTAGTATTGTGTGTTATTGATTTTAAGCTCCACTTTTCAATATTAAATCAGGACTTTCACAGGAGCAAATTAAAGGAGAAAAGCATTCATAGATGACTTTTTAAAACATGGCTATTTTTGGAGATACCTTTCTTTAAAAAGACCTTCTCTCCCTTTTTAGCCCAACTGTTCCGTGTGTCTGATTCCGCAGTGAAATCACAATCCTGTAGCTGACACTGTATCAGTCTGTTTCTTTGGCAGCTATGCAGTGTCTCAACTCAAGCTTTATTATTTAACAGTTGAACTGTGAGGAATAGAGCTTTGTATAGCAACATTTTGAGGATTCATTTGCCTTTCAGTTGCTTATTTTTTTAGCCAGATATTTGTTTTCTTCAGCATGAAAGTCCCTCTTTAAAACCTCAGAACACAAGTTAATTCTGACTACAAGTGACATGGTGACTTCTGCCCAATCTGAAAAATACTTGATTTACATGGAATAGTAGCAGATGACAAATCTTTAAGTGGCTGTCTTCCTTCACAGTAAAGTGTGAATTGCCAGTTTGGGTACAGTTAATTTATTACTGGAACTAAAAACTTGCTCAAATATTTGTGTGTGTGTGCGTGCGTGCACGGGGGGGTTAATCCTACCTTACACATCTCTAATTCCAATACTAAGGCTAAGTCCTGGGTTTTTTAACTGGCTGTTTTTGTTTGTGACCAGAGTGTTCAGCTTTGCCATTTAGCAAACAGTTTTTATCTGTGTACCATCTGATAAATAAATGCCATACAAATGCTATTACCTACAGCTTTATATTGTCAGAGTCTGCCTAGCATTGTTTTCAGATTCTATCTTCTCTAGTTACCTTACTAGATGTAATCAAAAGAACACCACAATTTAGGTTTCTTTCTATGCAAGGTAACTGTAAATTGGATAGAAATTCTTTAGTTTGAGTTGTTCAGAGCAGGGACTGTCCTTTAGTGTTTGGAAAGCACCTAGCACATGGGGGCACCTCTGTAAATAAGAATAATAGAAAGAGTTGTCTATCAGGCTTAGCCTCATTCGTGCCTGTTATAATGGAAAGTGCGTGTTAAGCATGCTGATTTGAGCCTTCCTTTAAAATCCATCACTGGAGAGTCCCTTGAACCTCACTCTGTTTTTCTAATAAAGATCAGTGGGAGGTTAATGTGACTGCGAATGAGGAAATCCCATAGCATTGTTGAGATTGGTTTTACTTCAATTCCAGGATCTGCACTGTGCAGTAAAAGACCAAACCTCATAGTGTCAAGTATCAGAGGGGTAGCCGTGTTAGTCTGAATCTGTAAAAAGCAACAGAGGGTCCTGTGGCACCTTTAAGACTAACAGAAGAACCTCATAGTGACATTAATGTGGCATGTTCATAGGTGGGAAGGGTATAATTGTCTGTCCTCTAGAAAAATGTGTACTAACGTAGAATGCCCTGGCCTGGGCACCACTGAGGGGAGTTGTAGTTGGTAAGTTGCTGCATCTTTGCTATTCTTTTGGTATTAGGCCCAGAAGATGAGAATAAGTAATCCAGGGCTGCTGTTTGAGGAAGGAGGGAGAGAGCTCCAGAGTATACTTCCCTTTCTTGCTTTTGCATTATGTTTTCCAGTCCCATGGAATTATTCTGGAATTATTTTAAAATCCCAAATTGCAGACTTTCCTTGGATATGAATTCCTGAGATTGGTGAGGTTGTGAGGTATTCAGAACAAAAATCATTGGGATGTATGTTCCCTGGGTATAAACTATACTGGAGCTCACAGAAGTGGTAGAATAACTCGTTACCTGAAAGATTACATGGAATCTAATGAGAGAAACTTCCTGAGTGTAGAGAACCATATGATGGCATCTCAAGGGATACAAATCCCAAGTCATAGGAATACAAGTCAGCTCAGTTATTACTGACTCTCTGCTCAGGAAAAAGTATGCCAAGTGTGTCATATTGAGGAGGGTTAGAGGTAACTATACCCAATAAAGCAGTAATAGGTGATGTCCCCCTCTTGCCCATAAAGTGGTCCTGTGTTGCATTGGAAGATGTAAGACTTGCGGTTGTCTGGGAGTTGAGCTAATTCCATTTGCCAACTCCAGGCTTCTGCAAAAGCACATTTGCTCAGTCATTTGAAACGGGGTGGTTGTCAGACTCCAGAAGTGATCCCAAGATCGTTGTGTGGGGTCCCTTTTGAATATCCTGGGAACAGGGGCAAAGTTTTCTTGGGGGCAGGAAGATCATCAGTGGCAAGTAGCTGAATGTTGGGTTATGATGATGAAGAAGCAGAACCCCTGCTCTGTAAAGCTGATCAGCTTGTAATGGTTGGGGAAGAACATTCCCTGATATGTCAAGGTATAAAATGTATTTTAAAAATAAAATACTTAATGTACTTTATGAAGAAACTACTTACTAAAGAAGGAATAACTAGCCAGGCAAGACACTTTATTTCTTGTAGGTGAAATGGAGGAATAACCTATGGTATTTAACTCATTTCAGCATTGCTGCTGCATATAGTGACGTAAGCATACATGACAGCTGTCAGTGAGAGAAATTAACAAAATCTCAGCCCGTAAGATCTTAGCCTAAAATGTGTGAGTGGGTATAACGTAGCACCGAACAGAGACTGATGGCCATGACAGCTTGAGCTTGTAAAGTAATGTAGGACCTAAATGAAGTCTTGTGCAAAGGGAATGAACTAGTTTACACGGGGAATAGTTCCCTGGCAAAGTTCTTGACCCTTTCTTTTTTTAGGTACTATCCTTAAACATTTCTTTATTCTTTGTAGGCATCGAAATTAGAGAAACAGAATAGCATGCCTGAAAGTGACTATGATAACCGCACCCCCAGTTTGGAGTTGGATGAGACGGGGTATGTCTTATTACATGAATTAGCTAATGTTTGTGTCTGTATAGTGTCTGCAGACATAAAGCCCTAGTTAAGTGCTAATAGAAACTGCTCTGTAGTCCAGTGACCACTTCAACATTCTTCTTTTTTTCCCCAGGCCAGGTAGGAAAGGAAGGCAGAGAAGTATCATTTGGCAGGGGGAAGGGTCTATCCCTGAGAACTCAGATACAGATGCAACCCCAAGTTCCACTTTGCCCAGTACAGAAGATGTTATTCGAAAAACTGAACAGATCACTAAAAATATCCAGGAGCTGCTGCGAGCAGCACAAGAGAATAAGCATGACAGGTAAGGATGGGAGTCTAAGTGTTCTGGAATTTCCAAGATTAAAAATATTATAAAATGCTTCCAAGCGTAGAGACTTTAATTTCATGTAAATGAATCATGTATGGTCATGTGTTCCCTGGGTTGCGGGGAGCAGCAGATGTTACTGGGGCTGTGGGCAAAAGGACATGGAACAGCTTCTCTCCGTGGAACACTTCCTCGGGACTTGGCAGATATCCCTGGGAGCAGCTGCTGTTTGGAGCAGTGTCTGCTCCCAGTCTGCCTGCATCCCACTCAGTAAGAAGCAGTACAAGCAAGGGGAAGTGTTGGGAGATGGCTCCCTTGCAAATCCTGTTGCTAAGAAAGCGGAGGTCAAGGGACCACTGCAGAGGCCTGGGAACAAGTGGGATTTCCCCTGGATTCTCAAACTACACAGGAGTTATAGATCAGGGCACCTAGAAGGGAACATTCAGCAGTAACTGAGTGTAACCTCTGTGAAACAGCTGCAGTCAGGAAGGATTTGGCCCTTAAACTGCAGATGGTTTTGTTTGTGTACATAATTGCTATGTTCTCTGTAATAGTTAGGGCCCTACCAAATTCACGGCTGTGAAAAACACATCATGGGCCATGAAATCAGACCTCCCCCATGAGATCTACCTATTGGAGGGGGGGGAGGAGCAGGGCTACGGGTACCCCAGATGGGGGCTTCTACCATGTACTGTGCTCCAGCTGTTAGAGCGCCGGGCTGGGGAGAGATGGGACTTTCTCTTCCCTTGCATGGCCACTCTCAGGGGTAGATCAGCCCCACCTCGGGGTACCTCCCTCAGCTGCAGGAAGCTCTGTGGCTGCACTGCCTTCAGAGCTTCCTGCAGCCAGAGGAGGTTCCCGGAGGTGGAGGTGGGTCTGATCTCCCCTGTGCTGCTGGGAGCACCCCAGTTGGGTAGTCCTGGCTGGGGTGGGACAGGATTTCCTCTTCCACTGTATGGCTGCTTTCGGGGGGGGAATCATGCCCACCTGCGGGTACCTCCTCCGGCTGGCGAAAGCTCCATGGCTGCGCTGCCTTCAGAGCCCAACTCTGAAGGCAGCACAAAAGTGAGGGTGGCAATCCCACAACGCGCCCCCCCCAACCCTCTTTTGGGTCGGGGACCCCCAGGCTACAGCACCCTGAAATTTCAGATGTAAATATCTGAAAATGTGAAATTGACTAATTTTAAAACCATGAAATTGACCAAAATGGAGCATGAATTTGGTAGGGCCCTAGCAATAGCCCTGTATCGTCTATTTTTTATAGCAATAGATAAGCCATCAGCAAAAGCTGTTCTGAACTGTTAAAGTAGAGCCAAGAACTAGATAGGCTTTTCTCAAGTTTGCCAGTGCTAAAAAATCAAAGCGGCCTATTTATCTGAACATCAAATTAGTACTCAGCCTGAGCTTCCCCCCATGCACTCTGACCTGACAGTTAACTTTGCCAAATCTCCCTGAGTTGTTGGTAATGATTCTTTGTGGTGCATCAACAGCAGGTGGTTCTAGGTAGTTTTTTATAGGCATATAATGGCAGCTATATCATAGTGCATGTTAGTGCATTCCATGTTAGCACTGAGTGGTCCTAGGCTCCAAATAAACTTCTCTTTTCCTCTGGCAGTTCTCATTTGAACTGCAGTCACAGCCTCAGCGCTGAAGGATTATACAACACATTACCCATGAAACCGGCTAACTACCTTTGTTAAATCTTGCAGCTCATAGAGTTCAGTTTCTGAGCTTCTTACCTCCACAATTGAGGAAAAATAGGCAACAGTTGCATTCTGGGGGCCACTTCTGCTTCTTCCATGCTTATTTACTTTGTTTGCACTTTCCTTTGGCTAGGTGGGAGATGCACAGTGTTTCCTGTGTGATCCTGGGTGGAGAAGTCAGAGTGCATTTTCTGACTGAGCTCACTTGAGTCAAAATTCAGACTTAGCCCCTTCCATAAACCACTCTTGTTGTTTGCTCCCAGGGTTCTTATAAAGGGGAGCTGCAGTAAAAAATAACCAATATTCTTATTTTAAATTTTATTTGTATATTTTACCAGTAACAATAGTTGAAACGCACCAAAATCATCTAGAATAAAGAACCCAGGACATGTTTTTCCCCTGCTAAATTGAGTGAAGTTGCTTAGTAAAGAATACTTTAATCCTTCCTCATGTTTTCTTGTTCCTCAAGTTAAGGGAGCATTTTTTTTAACACAAGGGACAAGTATCTCTTTAGATCTGTAAATAAAACAAATTAAATTCATAAATGCAAATAAGAAAAATGAACGGAGAAATCTTTTGAAGAAATAATGATTAGCCTTGCAAAGAGACCTATAACAAAGAAGGGACAGAAGAGAAGAAAGATATTGAAGGGAAGGCTTTAAGAGATCAGGGTAAGGAACAAGTTGTTTGGTTATTAAAGCAGTGTTTCTTCTACGCCACAAATGGAGCATGTTGGTTACCATACTTAGGTGGCCGTGACCCTCTAAAGCTCTTAGCCACGAACAAAAACGCAATATTGTATTGTATTGCATGGCTTTGCCTCAGATGTGCTACTGCTCAATGAATCACATAGCGGGGCAAGCTATAAGGGAAAATAATGGAACAAATCTATTTCACTTAATTTTGATATGAATAAGACTATTTAGAGAAGTCCCATTGCAAATATATTGTCATATAATTGAACTTCTGAGAACTGTAATGAGATTGGGAATATTGTAAATAAAAATGACTTGCCACATGGAGAATCTGAACATGAATGTTAATTGTTCTTCCATCATCCTAATGAAACTCCTTCCTTTTTCTCACTCTTTTTGTTCCTTTTCCTGTACTCATCTGTCTAAATAGACCATTAGAGCGTGCAAGCATGCTTAAGCTCAGACAGAGCCTCGGCTGTTTCAGTACCCTGGTTCCATGGGCCGAGAGAGCTCCCCTGCAGCCTTGGACCCATCAGCAGCCTGAGCCTACCTGCTGGTACTCTGGCCTCTGTCCCTGCCTTCCAGGCACAGTGTCCTTTCTCTTTTTCTCTGCTGCCTTTCCCCCTTCATGCACGTTCAGCACCGGGGTGGTTCGAGGTTATGCATGAAAGGCTTTAAATGATAAGAAAACTTATAGGTAATAAGTACTAAGAGTTATGGGGCCAATCCTATGTCCTGTGAAGTTAATAGGAGCTTTTACTGTTGACTTAGGTGGGAGCAAGATCAGGGCCTAGTGGTACAGCTAACAGAGGCTTGAGGTTTCCCTCTGACAGCCCTAGCTTGTCTCTCCATTCTGGTCATTGTTTATCAAAAAAATCTGCATCTGATCATTGATGACATAATTTGTTGTAGCAGTGTCTACGCACTGTTACTGCAGAAATAGCATTATTTGCATGAGCCATAACACACAACATTTATTCTTTTAGTCTAATAACAGTCTGTTTATGGTGAATACTAGAGCCTAGTTTCTAGCTTGCATAAATTACCATCAAAACTAAATTTTAGGTTTTAATAAGTTTATGTAATGGCAACCCAAAACTTCAAAACCTGACCAAAATACTGTTCTGATCTTTAAGACCTACTGCATCTGAGATACAAAACCTGTTTAAAGGAAAGTTTAAAATCCAGTGTATATGGGCTGTGACCTGTCCCCAAGGTTTAATCCTAAACACTATTATGGCCAGTCATCACTATCAAAGTGAGAGGAAGGGTTACAGGAAGTCTTCAGAAATTCTCTGTAATAAGAATTTTTTCAAAATATGACAATTCTCTAAAATTTGTGTAGATTTAGGAAGCCAATTCAGTCGCACTATGACCTCTAGTGTCTACCCAGATTTTAGTCAGTGTATGTTTTAAAAAAAAAAAAATTTAAAAAATCATCACTAGTGAGAAGTATCGTTTTGTGTCTGCACATTTTGTACAATGGGGTCCTGGGGTTGCTAGATGCTATGGTGATACAAATCATAGTACTAATAAAGTACTTAGTGTTTGAACTGCTTATCTTACATCAGTAGAGGCTTTCCTCAAATATACATTGAAAACTTTGATGCAACAAACCCAGATGGCCTGGAAATGTGCACCTAACTATTGCATCTCTAATACACTCTTACATTCCATAATTACTGGGGCTTGTTACTGTGCCATGGAAATCAATGGAGGCTTAAACTGCACCTTTTTTTCTTGTTTTCTGTAGGTTTCCTCTACTATTCAGTGTGGCTCATGGAGAGTAAATTGGTTATTAGCCCGACTCTCCTTTCTAGTAGAGCAGGGATTGCTACAGTGCACTTTTGGTAAAAAACTAGTGATGGTGGGAAGTCTCATTTTGTTTGGAAGAGCCCATGGGAATGCAACACACACACAATCAAGATGTCCCCCTTTTATAGCAACTTTCCTGCATAACTCAAATGACCCCTAAGTGTGTTGCTTTCCTTTTTAGTGTATCTGTAATTTACATGTTTGGGGTTTTTTTTTTTTGCATGTTCAGTATTGCAAGTTAATTGAATAAAACGATTGTGATTTCAGTCTGAAAGTGATTTTTAGATTTAGAATTGAGAGATGATGCTAAGGAAAAATATTCTTCTTTTGAATGGTACTGCCTGATAAACTAATTTTAAAAATACTAGCTTAAGGTCTGAACTATACTAACTATCCTGTAGATTATTATCTTAAATGGAGTATTTGGAAAGTATAGGTTTTAAAAGTAGACTTTTGACAGAAGGCTAAACTTCTTTCAGGCTTCAGGTAACTCTAAAATTATTGACCAGAGGCTTCTCTTTTGAACAGAGATCAATTTTAATTCTAATTTTTAAATATTTTTCAAGGTCTAAAGCAGAATCTGTAAGGATTCTTAAAATCTACTTTTGGATTATTAGTTAGCACTTCATAATAGTTCTGCTTACCAGAATAATTGAAAGTTTAGCCCAAACTATGCAGTCTAAAAGTAAATATTAACCATGATGAAATGCATGTATTTTACCAGTTGCTGTCTCTTGCTGGTTTGGTGTAGTACGTGTTCACCATGTGTCTACATTCACCAGGCATTCTTCATCTTTTTTCCGTTTGCCTTAGATGAAATTTTACAATCTTGTAGTTACACTTCACCAAAAAAGTGAGGTGTGCGTCCCGAATAAGAATTAGGAGTTACATAACAGCTTCTCTGTAAATTGGTAATCTTTGATTTATGCAATGAAGAACGGGGAAGATTTAACATTCAACAATACTGCATTGACAGCCTAATGTTCACGATGGACTGTCAAGTATGGAAATAAATGTTCTCTAAAGTGAATTGTTTCCTGGGCCTGTGTCTTCACAGCAAGCTAAAGAATGCACAAGGGTTAACCTTTGGCCCTGAGAAGCCCTGACAAGTAACATGAGTTGAGATTGTATATACTGTGCACTGGAGAAACAAGGTGGGGGAAGTAATGTCTTTTATAGGACCAACTTCTGTTGGTAAAAGAGACAAGCTTTTGAGCTACACAGAGCTTTCCTTCAGGTCTGAGAAAGGTACTCAAGGTCAGAGCTAAATACAAGGTGTAACAGATTGTTTAGCATAAGTAGTTAACACATATTGTAGGAGACCATTCAGTACCCCCCCCCACAACACACCTTTCAAGATCCATAGGTCCTACATGTGCCTATCACAACATGTGGTAGACCTCATCCAGTGCATTAAATGGCCCAATAACAACTATGTGGGTGAACCAGACAATCACGACACACTCAAATGAACTCTCCCAGAAAATCAGACAAAAACCCCACAGCACCCACAGGCGAACACTTTTCACAAAACGATCTCTCCATATCTGACCTCTCAGTCCTCATCCTCAAAGGAAACTTGCACAACATCTTCAAAAGATGAGCCTGTGAGCTTAAATTCATAACTTTGCTAGACACTGAAAATCATGGTCTTAATAAAGACACTGGATTTATGGCTTATTACAACAATCAGTAACCCAATAACCCCCCTTTTTTGTCCTACGACTGCAGAGGTGTTAACAGGCCACTCCACCTGGAATGGTCTCTCACAACATGTTGTATGCAGTGTTGTAGCCATGTCAGTCCCAGGATATTAGAGAGACCAGGTGGATGTTGGTAATAACTTTTTATTGGATCTTTTATCTTCTTCAGTCGCCTGAAGAAAAGCTCTGTGTAGCTTGAAAGTTTGTCTCTTTCACCAACAGAAATTGGTCCAATAAAAAATATTGGCTCACCCACCTTGTCTTTCTAACATCCTAGGATCCACATGGCTACAACAATACTACAATATACTGTGCAGTGTCCGTTTCTGAGCTTTTGCTCTATCTTTGTTATGTGTGTTTCAAAGCTCAGTTGGGAGATTACTGGTGAAAATGTCTATGGAGGTCATACACCTTAGATATTGCTGCTGAGTGTTTGAAAATAGCTTTATGCAGATTTGATGTAAAGATAAATAGCAATTCTTTTCTTGGAGAAACTCTGAACTTCATAAATGTAACCAAAGATCATTTGTAGGAAAGCAGTCTGCACTGGCTACCAGGGTATGGACAAGGTGACCTAGTAGGTCTCATTTCTAATTTTGATCATCCCAAATTGTTGACAAAATATTATTTGTGTAAAACTTAAACATTTAAATAAAAGTTTTTTTTGTTTTTTTTAAAGATTTTTCAGCTCCACTTCCAAGGTTAGTATATATCTAAGTCTGCATAGATCTTTGACTTGGCAGCTTACTTACTTAAATCTTTTACTAAAGTTTGGTTTCATAGTACTTTGGGGCTTGTACAGAAAATTCCATTCTTAAAATAGCAGATTAAATCTGATCTCAGTCTACACACACAAGAATGTGTGTTTTGTTTTTTATTGTCAGCCCTGCACACTCAGCCTGGGATCTGAGAGTCACTCTGGGATCTTAGATACACTTGTGCAATCCTGATGTCTCCAGTTAAAATACCCTTTAAACAGCAGAATCTGGAACTTTTATTTTGTGCCTGCAATTGTCTTCTGGCCATTTACTTACACACACACACACACACACACGCATATATGTATAATTTTTAAAAAATCTCTGACGTTACATTTTGAACAGGCAGATAAACCCCTCTAGAACATATTGTGCCACTTCTGTGGGAATGCAGAGCCAAACTCTAAAATTTGAATGTTCAAATCGTGACTTTAGGAAATGTCAGTCATGTACACTGATGTGCTGTTTTCACATTTGTAAGCATGTATTTCCATACTTGAGTATCTGACCGTGCTGGATACAGGATAGCGTGTGCAACCCATTACTCCTTCCCCCACAAGCTGTGTTAATCCAAGAATAGTTTAAACCTTTGATTTACCTAATGCAAAGAGTCTTACATCAGCTGTGAAGTTCTTGCTTTTCCTGAAGTTGTTTGTAGTACAGTGTGGTTGAAACACAAATTTGTACATAATTTACTAATGAATGTTTCAATGGGAAGCTTCATCAGACTTGCGTGTTGCAGAGAATCTGCTACAGTTGTGTTTGGAGGCTGTGCTAAGACAATGTTAGAAGATAATGTGCCGTTCTGTTAACTTGTTTGCTTTTGGAGAAATAGTCACTAACTAATTGAACTTCAAGAAAATCCAGTGTTTTTGCTGCTTTTGAATACTCTTTTTTGCATCTTCTTGCAGTTATATACCGTGCTCGGAAAGAATACATGTGGCAGTAACAGAAATGGCAGCCTTGTTCCCAAAAGTGAGTCGCTTTATTTCTTCAGCAATGGCAATGTTTCTCAAATGTATTCTGCTCTCAATCTCGCTTATCTTGAGGCTTTGTGACAGAAGAACCTTTAAGGGAAGTTGGTGCAATGAATATATTTCTGATTGGACATGGGGAGGGCGCGCGGGGGTGTTGATTTGGTTAAGAAAATCAATAAGGAAATTTAAAATTCCTAAGCTTTCGCTCCTTTTTATTTTACAGTGGGTCCTCCCTGGGTTTAGATTTTTTGCAATGAACAAAAAGCAAAAGATGGATAGATAGGAGGGAGGAACATTACTTTCATCAAGACGAGGATCTTTGTCAGACCTTGCACCTTTCTATTTGTCACCATGCCAAGTGGGTAGAGTTAGTTGGTACACCAGGATGCACAGGTTGGTTGAGATGAAATGCCCACAGTTCCCATAAGCCAAGGACGCTTACATCTTGCTTGAACAGCGATGGAGCTATACCAGAACTTTGCTTGACCTGTCATCTCGTGACTTGCATGGATGTAGACCATGTCTTTAGACCACTTCTCAGGTCTTTTATAGGCAGCTTTCTGGGAGCAAATAATTATCTGTGTGGGTCTCAATGAATTCCAAAGGGTCTGCTTCTGCCCAATGTCTTGTCTTGCCACAAGGTGCCCTACAAGCCCTTCCTTTCCTGGCCTTTGACGAGGAAAAAGCTACTGAGCCCAGGCCACCTTGCTACAGTATTAGAGCATTTTCAAACAAATGCTAAATCTCACTGATTCAAAGTCATCCTAAAACAGCTGTGTATAATCCATGCTAGCTAGCTCAAGCTTTGTTTGCTTTTCCCTTCCTAGAAACCCAAATCTGAGCTGGTAAGGACGTCGCTGCGGCTGCTGACATCTAGTGCCTACAGACTCCAGTCTGAATGCAAAAAAACCCTGCCCATAGAGACCTGCCCTACCACGGACATCCAGCTGGTCACTCAGCAAGTGATTCAGTGTGCATATGACATTGCCAAGGCTGCTAAACAACTGGTTACCATCACAACCAAAGAGAACAACAACTGAGTCCTCTCGGGTTTTTTAGTCTTGGTTTTTTAGAGATTGGAGTTTAAATTTAGACATGTAACTTTTCAAATTTTTACAAGAAAACTAAGGGGGGAAGTTCAACTTTTTTAAACTCAGTATTATTTTTGCATGTTTTCTAACAGAACTTTCAAAGATTAATTTAACCCACTGCCTTATTTTTGTGCCTGTGTTGCCAGTTTAATGACTGAATATAGTGTGTTGCAAACAGCTGTTGAGCCAATATCACATACCAACATTGTATCAGAGGTTCTTATAGGAGATTCCTTGGAGCTGTATTCTGCTTTCGGATATTGCACGCGCACACACAACTCTCATTGAAGTCAAATGCGCATATCAAAGGGCAGAATCTAGCCTTGAACTGCTCTGCATGGTGAATCCCCTTGAATAACACACTCTCTCTCAGCAGGACAGTGGACTGTGAAGGCTCCAGGAGTGTAACTGTTGAACAGTCAGTAGAATGAAGTTTTATATAGTCTTCCTGAGAATTGAATACAAAGTTATATTCTCTGTTTCATATCAACTGTTGTGCAATAACCAGTCCTTAGTCTGCTGAAACTAGTAGTTGTGGGCATCCAAACCTATTAAATGTTAACTCTACAAGGTCTTTGTCACTTTTATCTATTTTGGAAGGAAGCATGAGATTAAGTAGTTTCTTTTAGTTGTCACTATGCCACTAGTCTATACATTTGATGTTACTTTAGAAAGGCATTAGTGGTTACAATCTATCATTTTCATTTCTCTAAAAAACTCACTTTGAAGTTTCCCACAGCATTTATTCCCATTTTAGTGTCCTCTTTAAGGCTGTCTCTTGTTTGCAGCAGTATTGTTGTTTAATATCTTTTTAGATGCAGTTTCACTAAAGAGTTCAGTGATTTCTTTAAAATGGAAGATAAGAGGGCCAGTTCAAAAGAAGCCATGCCTGACACGGTACATCATATCTATACCTCACTGTAGTGGAATGTGAAAAATACACTTTTTATATAGTACCTCTCATGCCAAGCTTCCAAAAACTACAAACTATATACAGATTGACACCTACCTTAAGGGTCATCTTCAATACACAACCCACCATGTGCTAACCAACCACTTTAATGTATTCCCTAGCTAAGTTCCAGTACCTTTTTCTTTAAAGTTCATGGGTAAAATTTTCAAAACCACCTGAATCCTCATTTTCAAGGGGGACACAGGTACTTAAAGAGCCAGAGTCTTACTGAAAGTCGGTGAGATTTGGGTTCTTAAGTGCCTGTCACCTTTGAAAATGTGGACTTAAACTCCTAAGTCAAGCTCATGCCTACTGACCTGTTTTGATAATCACTTAAAGCACTGTTCTACTTACAAGTGAACCTGTGAAAATGACATTGAGAGGCCCCAGTCTGGCTACAAACAATTTGTTCAGTTCATATATAAAAAGATGTTTTTCCTGTTTACCAATCAGTCCTATAACCTCCCCCGGAGATCTGAATGTCAGCTGTTCTGATTCGTATGCAATCAGTAATGACGATTCAGAGGCACTCAATGACACCTGTACAGTACCAATATCTGCAGTGAGTTAAACAGCTGAGGGCAGAATTTGGTCTTGCAATGGGAACTTAGTTAACTATCATGTTTTGTGATTCGCTGTAGCTGTGCAGATGCTGTTGAGCTAAAAGGAAAAAGTAGTTGAATTATTTTTGTTGTTGAAGTGAGAAGATAAGAGACTGAATGCAAAGAGGGAGCAGATATGTTGTAGTTCTTCATTATTTTTTCTAACTGTAACAACACTTAACATAGCTATTTCCCAGTGATGCTAAACCATCAGATAATGACTGGATTATAAGCCCTGGATGTTATACATAGTTACATATATATAAAAACATGAGGAAGTTTAAACTCTGAAGGCGGGTTTTCCACCACACTAACCACCTTCCCCTGTGATAAAATACTCCTACAATTCGTAGTTTCCTCTGGAGGCCCCAAAAGCCATAGGACCACACGCATGCAGTCTGCTATGTTAGTTTACTCACTGTGGCTTGGTCTACACTTACCCCCCAAGTCGAAGTAAGGTACGCAAATTCAGCTACGTGAATAACGTAGCTGAATTCGACATACCTTACTTCGAACTTACCGCGGTTCAGACGCGGTCCACACGCGGCAGGCAGGCTCCCTGTCGACTCCGCGGTACTCCTCTCGTTGAGCTGGAGTACCGCAGTCGACGGGGATCACTTCCTGGTTCGATTTATCGCGTCCAGACGCGATAAATCGAACCCGGAACTTCGATCCCCAGCCGTCGAACTACCCGGTAAGTGTAGACTAGCCCTGTGTTACCATTCAAGTGTGAGATTACAGGTAAACTGATCAAGAGTCACCATATAATGTTTTGTCTGAATATATAAATGCTAAATTTATTTTTCACATAAATGTTTGATTCAAAAACACTGTAGGAGACTGTCTACTGTTCTATAAGCAGAGTCTGCAGTATTTAGTTTGCTAAATCACAATTCTTTAGGTTGGTTTTTTTGGTGATAAAAATTTGCCGTGTTTTAGGTTAACAAACAAAAATTAAACCTTCAGAGGTTCCTTCCTTTTAAAATTACAATGTGTTTGTATGTGTGTATAAACACTGACTAAGTGCCATAATATTGTTGGATGCTGATGTTGTAATTAACTGCCTTTTTTAAAGCATTGTACTATTTTGGGATTAAAAGAAAGTAGGTAGGGATAACCTGTTGCAGTCTGATTCATACATAATGTATCCTGTCCCCTCTCCTGTATCTAGCGCTGCCTCTAAGCATCTGGAAATGCATTTAGACCAGGCTGTGATTTGAATAGTAGAGAAGTATTTTTAAAACCTATTACCAAAATTAAAGCACTCGTAATGCATTGTATGAAATAGAATAACCCCACTTAAGAACTGCTTTGAACTAGCACAGTAGGGACATGCAGCATGCTATTTGCTAGTATCCATCAGGACATCACTACACGTGGTTTTTACATATCCTGTGTGGGATACAGAGTAATTTAATGTTTCCTAAAATTTTATTTAAGGATATCAACTTTTTTAAATGCTTGCTCGGTGCCAAAACTGGAAAAGTCCCTTCAGATGAATAACTGTACATCTTTCCTGTGTTGGCGGCAGGTTTCGCAAGTACCCGATTCAATTAGACTCTGGCATGATGAGCTATACAAGTGTGGCTAAAGTGTAACCCACTTCACATTCTGTATCTAGATATTTTTTTAAATGTCAAACATCAGTTTTATGGTCCTGTTGTTAAACTGCACCTTGTCTAAATAGTTCTGTTCTGCTTACGTATTGGGTCATCGTAGCAAGTTATTGCACTAAGCAGTTATACATCTGGTGTGATATCTGCAGTATTCTTATGTTACTTCCTTTCAAGAAGCCAGTAGGACAGAGGTGCACTTTATGGAAATGGCACTTGGAGCAAAAGCTGACTCTACTCCAACCAAACCCTGGTTAGCTCAATGTATTAATCTACTCCACCCATTGTTGGTGTTTGCCAAAGTAGTGGATTGGGCCCAAAGCTTGTGTAGCATTATGCTTTGGACTGTGTGGATGTGTCTACGCTGCACTGTAAGCCAAGGGTTTGAGCTCAGCCTCAAGCCTAACCCCCTGTGTGTCTATACACAAATTGCACTAGCCAACGGTCCAGAACCCCAGGGAGGGAGGAGGGTCAAGCCCAGACCCAGCATTCAAGCCCTATTGCTTTGCAGAGTAGGCTCAGCCCTACTGGACTTGCGCTCTGGAGTCTGCCAAAAGCATCCCACAACCTGTCTTGCATTGTCTTCTGGACAGTCAAGTTTAGCGGATGGGCAAATTTCCCCACTGCATCATGAACAAAGGGCTAGAGTAGCCACATTTTGGAGGGTGCTAGGACTCGGGCCTGCATAATGCAGTGTAGATGCTGGAGCATTCAGCCATTCCTAACTTGTGGTTATAGATGAGTGTAGATGCTCAGGGTACGTCTCCACTGCGATGAAACCATCTGCGGCTGGCCTGTATCAGCTGACTCAGGCTCACAGGGCGGGGTCCCAGAGCCTGGGCTTCAGCTCAAACTCGGCTATCTACCCTGCAACGTTCGTAGCCCTGCAGAGCTGACAATGGCCAGTGTGGGTGTTTTATTGCAGTGTAGACAAATCCTCAAGCCCTAGGTGAACAAACCCAGGATCTGCTAACTCGAGTTCTACTAACCCTGGTCTTACATTGCAGTGTAGACGTGCTTTGAATGGCTGCAGGGCAGAAGCTATTAAAATATCTGGAGTAGTTTAGGTGCAAAAAGATGTGGGTTTTTTCCTGTGGCTGGAACCCCACTTTCAAATAGCTTGTATGTTTTCTCTCTTGCGCTTACAGAAATGTAACCCTCTCCCTCCAACAATGCTGCACAGGACAGTGAAAATGCCTTTTTATGAACTTGTATTTCTGTCCATATTGTACTCATGATTTAGCCTTTAATGTTTACTGTATTACATAAAATTACTGTACAACCCTTTAAGTGTTATAAAATTGTTTGGGATTATTTGCCTGCTACTTATGCAATAAACAGGCTTTTAAAGTGCTTTGCCTTTGGGATATATGGGCCAAATACAAAGTACATACAAGATGGTACTATAAACAGTGCAAAGGGAGTAAATTGCCGTGTAACTAATGCACTGAGAAGCAGTGTGTATTTAAAATAGCTGAATTAAAGATTTAGACCTTGGTGGTCCTAGTTTTCCTGCTATCTTCTGGCATATGCACATCATCAGTAGGCCAAATCCAGAAGAGATAGAAGCTACATGCCAGTAAGTGTGTCTGTCTCAACTGCTGTTACAGATGGGGATGTCAAGTATCAGAGGGGGAGCCGTGTTAGTCTGAATCTGTAAAAAGCAACAGAGGGTCCTGTGGCACCTTTAAGACTAACAGAAGTATTGGAGCCTAAGCTTTCGTGGGTGAATGCCCACTTCATCAGTCTTGTGTCTGGGCATTCACCCACGAAAGCTTAGGGCTGGTCTACACTGCCGCGCTAGTTCGGCGGCTGGGGATCGAAGTTCCGAGTTCGATTTATCGCGTCTGGTCTGGACGCGATAAATCGAACCAGGAAGTGATCCCCGTCGACTGCGGTACTCCAGCTCAACGAGAGGAGTACCGCGGAGTCGACTGGGAGCCTGCCTGCCGCGTGTGGACTGCGTCTGAACCGTGGCAAGTTCGAAGTAAGGTATGTCGAATTCAGCTACGTTATTCACGTAGCTGAATTTGCGTACCTTACTTCGACTTGGGGGGTAAGTGTAGACCAAGCCTTAGGCTCCAATACTTCTGTTAGTCTTAAAGGTGCCACAGGACCCTCTGTTGCTTTTTACAGATGGGGATGTGGTAGCAAAGGGCCATAAGTTATACCAACTTACTCACCTCTGCCTGGTTCCCTAACTGTAGAGCATTACTATCCTTAATGTGTTCAGCCAGTTAAATTAAAAAACTATAAAGGATTGAAAACTGCCAATAAATTCAGCTACTTTTCTTACTCCTTCATGCTGTGCGCATCAAATGGTCACATTTTTTATCATGCTGTAATAACCCATCCTTGCGGGTTCAGGAATGGTATTGGCAGGCAATGAAGGAAATCCTGCACAATATAAAACTAAAAGCCACCACTGACAGTTGGAAGGGGGCTTATAGCAAATGAATGTGGGGGCAATATGAAATTAATGGTGCTCAGTTGAACTACAAAGTTTTATTCTGTATTTTATAGGGTGGGGTGTACTCTAGAAACTCTTCCTGGTACAGTGATGTTGCTTAGGGGTGTTAATTTTGGTGACATTTTTATACTGGCAAAGTACATTTGGTAGCATGGCTCATTTCATTTGGGGAACCGGTGAGAGCTATACAGGCCAAAGTACTTCTTTGCTGGTAACTGCACCTCCACTAGAAGGATTTGCCACTGGAGCTATACCATCAAACCTTCTCCTGTAGACCTGGCCTTAGACGAAGTCTGACTTCATTTATGTAATTGTGTTATAGTGCCGATCTTGAATTTTGTATCATGAATATGGAATGTATCTCATACCAGTTAGAACTGGTCCACTAGATTAAGGTGCCTTTGGCATTTTCCCCTCTTGAAACTCACTATGCACTCACCACCTGTGTGATTTACATATGGAAATTCATTCAACTCATGATTTACTTTTGAACTTATGCAAACTGAGAAGAGCTACTGCTACTAGTGTTTGAAGTCACAAGATTCTAACTCCCTGTAATACACAATGGGTCTCCACTAGCACAATGTGGGAATCTTCCAATACAATTGAATCCACTAGCCTCAAGCAAATACGTGTGGAATCTGAGTTGCCTAAACATCATTGTCCATTATAGTAGATGTTTTAAGCGAGACAACTGTACCAACTTAATGTTCATAGCACTAGTTACTTTAACTGTTGAGCTCAGTCACTTTGCTGCCTTCAATTACAGTGAAATCTACTTGAAAAAAATAAATGGGAAGATTACCCCCTGACTCTCTGGGGTGAAAGTACTGGATAAACTTGATGAATTTTAGGTAGCAGTTGCTCCTATTTCATGTTTTCCTTTTAAAAATACACATGATGGCAAGATTAGATTTTTACAATAGAGGATGCAAACCTCCAGGTGCACAGCAAGACTCAGTAGACTAGCACTAACCACCTCTTTCCATGGGTTTTATGGAACTACTGCCCCACCTCACTCTATGTCCTGTGTGCTTACCAAGCCGGAGAACCTAACACCCAAACCAGGGATTTCACACTGGTCCCTAATGTGGTAGAGGGTCAAAACCTCTAACCTAACATTGTTTTGTTTATAGCTATGTTATAGCACATGAAAACTCAACTGGCCCTCCTAGTGCAGTTGAGTAGATTAGTAGGAAGACGTAGTTTGAAGCAACAGCCACCACCCCACTCCTGTACAGGCTGAAGCTCTGATTCTAACAGCAGAGACAAGCTGTACTGTCACTGAAGAGCTCTGAACCTCATTACAAAGGTACAGTTGGGGGGCAGGGGCGGAGAATCACTTCTCCCTTTAGCACGCGTTTCTAGTCTGGGAAGAAGGGTGAGCTAGCCTTTTTTTTAAAGAAAAGCCCCACTTTCAAAGAACGAGGAGTGTCTAATTTCAAGCCAGTACCATCCATTGTTAAGGCCAGTACTGCATTGTTCACTAGATAGCTGGTCATAAGCACATCCAATGCAGGGATCTCTTTTTCAAAATGAGATAGTGTAAGAAAACTTCAAAGAGTAAATCTAAAACAGACAAGTAAATATTTATTGAAATCTTTAGAGTCCTAGAGCCTAAATGAAACTTGTGTCAAGAATTGACACACTATAGCACTACAATTCTCACAAACACTGTTTTATAATGCATGGGGATAAGGAAGCACAGGAGGGATTTCTGAGCAAACATTACTTAGGGTTAATATAAAAAGCATGATGCTAAAGAAACTCTTTCCGCTATAAACAGCAACAGTCAGTGGTTTAGTATCATTGATGCAACTAGGTTGCATTAGTCAAGAATACATGCAGCTATTTTAAAGCTTTCTGCATATTTACTCTTCCATCATTGTTTTTCCTGGTTGAAGTGTAGTTGGACAGTCGACTTTGCCTTACATGCGACATCGTGTCACTTCACAGCTTCTAAACACTGGAAGCAGCTGGAACGGTGTAGAGCCGTCTCCACACTTAGGATAGTATTTTCAAGTACAGCTCCATTGGCCTACCTCTGCTGCTACTGCATTCAAGGGAAATTTGACCTTGACTTCAATGGGAGAATTTGGCTGAATGCTTTTGAAAACTTTGACCTTCATTTGCACTGAGCACATCTCCACCAGCTTCATGGACTATTCCTGACAATTTCATGACAACAGCACCTTGATTCTTGGTTTTGAAATATTCCACAACATCCTGATCTTGTTTAACAGGCACATAGCATCAGTATGAAGGACTCAATGTTGCAGGCTATGATGCTCACACCTCAGAACTTAAGGGCAACCCTTCTCAGGTCCAAGCTGTTTTTGGACGACCACGGGGCTGGAAAAAAGTCAATAGCAAGAAGTACCATAAGAATTTTACATTCAGAATTAAACTCCCAGGCACGTAATACTCAAGGTGCTGGCCCCTTAGCGGACAAGCTGCAGATGGTAGTTCTGGTTTATAAAGAAAGTACTATGTTCTATTAATGGACAAGACAACACCCTTCATGAAAAGCCATCAGTGACTTGGATAGTCACTTCTCCAAAGAAAATCAGAATGCCAAGCAATGAGAGGGTGTCAGAGGTTACCATCACTGCCACGGTAAAGGGATAAGAATGAAGCCACTCTGCCATATCATCTAAAATTAGAAGCCAGCTGGCAGAGGACAGGTTTTTTTCTGGGCATGTAAGAAACTTTCCAAAACCAGTTTGTCAAATGCAGCATTCCTTCTGCCAGAATACTAACGGGGTCCTGCTGCTTTTGCAGCTTTTTTGGATTCTTGGGCAGAGAAGGGGATGTTGGGAGCAGCTCTCAATCACCTGGTGATAGCCACACCCTAGTGCATGGACTGAGAACTAGGGATATACTTTGAGGCAATTGTGAAAGATCTTGCTTTAAAAGACTCATAAAATGACTATCTGCAAAAGACAGGAAACGGGCAATGCCTGAGACAACACCACAGCAATCTGAATCTTCCAGGGACAGTGGGAGATCCATTAGAAATGGCAGTGGGGGAGAGGCAGTGAACTTACTCTGCCAGCAGTCACTGCCCCTGAGCAATGACAGAACAGAGCATTTTTAGGTGTGAAACCTTTGCCCACCTCAGGAGCAGCTCTGACTTTTCCTGATGAAGAGGAACTGTGCTCAGAGGCAATTGCTGGTTACTCTCTGCTGCATGCTGACTTCCACTGTCAAACACCATGAACTAGCTGGGGGTGGAAAGTTAGCGTGGGCAACATGCATGATTTCATTGGGTCCTGCCAAGATCCTGCTCCTTACCTTACTGGGATAGCCCCGCTCAGTCATGCGCTTGGCCTCTTGCCGCACTAACTCCTCACAGTGCTGCTCTGCCAGCCTTGCTTCCTCCTCCTCCTCCTTCTGGCGCTGTAACGCTTCCTGCGCTTGCAGGTGACGCTCTGTAAGCTGAGTATTTTTAAAGATAAGCTATTAAAGTGAGATCACAGGTAGAGACCCAAACTAAACAAAGGGGGGGGGGGGAAGGTCAGGACTCAAGAGGCTTGAATCAGTGTCAGATCCGTCTTAGTTAATTGGATACTTTAGTATGGGGGTGGGAGGTTACCTGACTAAGCACCAGTTACAGCTGCTGGCGTGTGTACTCTACCTTTGCTAGCAAAATTGGGAAAGTTTCAGTAGAAAGTTACCGAGAATCTTGTTCTGACACTAAGGAATCGAAGAGCATTTTTCCATGCACTAAAATCTAGCAAAACTGGGTAAGCAAAGGAGATTTGCTAACAGCATCCTAATGACCTGGGTGCAGGTTTGATGAAGACCTGGGCTCTACCTGGGACTCCAGCTCTTGTTTGCGAGCGGTTTTTAGTTCCTCCTCTTCCTCTCTCTCTCGACGAGTTAGCTCTTTGGCCTCCTCAAGCTCTCTAATCAGTTGTTCCCGGTATTTTACACATTCCTCCTGGGCGTGTCGATTTAGCTCCATCTTCTCTTGGATCTGACACAGTCGGCCTGCAAGGACCTGTTTGGAGTAAGATGGGGGATGAAGGGAAGAAATAGGGTAAATAGAAAGAAAGGGGCCAGACTCAGAAACCAAACTAAGCAGATCTTTATCTAGACAGTTGCCCCAGGTCTCAGAAAATACACTGGGCCAGCAGAAAAGCCCATCCCCCAGCACAGAGCTAACCAGCTTTACTGAGCCGTTACTATGTATTCTAGGTAAATATACACCAGTGTGAAAGTCCCTCTTTCAGCCAGCAGAGTAATCACTGTCGAGAAGGCACCACCTCATTCATCAGTCTGTCTCTGGCCTTCCTCTCTCTCTCCCATTCTTCTTCTCTTTTTTCCCACACTTGTTTAGCTTCTTCCCTGAAGGGGAGAGAGAGAGAGAGAGTTGATCTCCAGCATTATTGCTTGCAATAACGAGAGACAGGAACAGAGAAGCCTTCAATACCGTATTTCCTGCAGCCTCTCTAGTTTCCATGTGCACGCAGAGAACCGCAGGAAAGCAATTTGTCTGTTATAAACCTTATGCTCAGGAGTGCTTCTGCCTCCGACAGGGATGGGAAACCAGGGCCCTGGCAGAAAATTTAGTTTGCAAAGCTTCTCTTCCCCACAGCATGTCTAGCAAGGAAAGTTCCTGTGCAGCCTGACTTGTCTGGGCATGAAGTATCATATCGACGCCTCTAGCTTTCACTGAGCCAAATTCTGCTCCCACTCACCCCCCATGGAAACTTTTTGAAGTCAGTGGGGTTACAGTGGATTCTCTTTCAACTTCCATCTCTCTTGAGAAACAAAGGAAACAACACACAACTTTAGAAGTCATACATAGGTCCCAAAGCCCACTGGCTGGATGATCAAATGCTGGTTTTAAGTTCTTGTCAGAAAAGTCTGACTAGAGTCATGATGTGGATGGGCAAGGATTGGACTTGTTCACGGTTGCCAATCCATTACTTCTAAAAATAGTTGCTCCCTGTTTATTAACTCTAGTACTAGTTGCAGCAAGAGAAAGACGGATTATGGAATCACTCCCATCAAGGAGAAGGAACCAGAAGGTCTTGATGCTTTTCAGCCAAAAGAACTGTGTCCTTTCACCTGAATATCCTTGTGTTACCTCCACATTGTGACTGGATGGCTAAACCATTCAACATAAAAGATGGAAAGTAGAAAAGGACCTAAAACCCACCCCTACTTCTGTTACACAGGACTCTGTGTAATCAGCCTTTCCTTCTAAAACTGCAAGACTAACTAGGAAGCCAGGAAGAAGATGGCTTCCAGTGGTCCCTTCCTCACCTGTGTGTATCAACAAAGTAACATTTACAGAGTTCTACCAACCTAGAAGAGAGGATGTTCTTAAAGGGAATCATTCATCACATTTAAACTCTCTCCAGCAAGCACGTCAGACTCACCTAAAAATGGTCTCCAGTTCTGCCTCTCGGGCCTTTTCTAACTGGAGCTGCTCCTCAATTACATGTTTCATCCAGGCAGCATCTGCAGCAGCCCGCTCCCGTCTAGCAGAGTGGAGGCGTTGATCCTCATCTTCCTTCTCTAGAAGGGCTAATAGTATTTGCCTGTCCATCTCCTAGAGAAAAGCCAGAAAAGTCACACACACACACAGCAGGTTTTCAAACCAGGCCGCAAGTAAATTCTCAATGTGCACAGTCATGCTAATGTCAAGACTGATCACAGACTGGAAGCTCATAACAGATCCTCAGCACCACTCCTAATTTCCTCTTGCCCTAATGCCACCAGGGGGAGATGGAAGGAGCTTGGTATGGCTCTGGACAGACAAGAGATACGCAAACAAAGTAATCAACATGTAGAAACAGCAGTTTTTAGTGCAAGATGACAGTACTACATAAAATAGTTAGGTGATCTCTGGTCTTGGCTTACCAGCTCCTGTTGTATCTGCTGTGCACGTCTCTTTAGTTGGGCATTATACTGATGTCTCAAAAAGCGACTAGGAAAAAAAAGAGGATACAAAACCAGACTAGCTCCAAAGTCCCATGTTCTCTTTTAGCAACATTCAGAAAAGCGAACCATGACTAGTACCATCTATAAGCATTGGTGGGGGGAACCGTTCTTACTGCGTTAGTGTAATTTTTGTTCTATGTCTATTTAAAGTGCTAGCCCATCCACTGCTCTGGATTTTCCAGACATACAATATTAAGTAAATTAACATATACAGCCCACAGTGACACTGACAATATCCCCATATACAGTAAGTGCGACCATGGACACAGGAATGGCTCTCTCCCAACACCCACAGCACTGAACTATACCATATCATACCCAAGCTCCAACTTTTTCCTGCATGCTTCCATTTGCTTCCTCTCTTCTTCCAGCTCCTCCAGCTCCCATTGCTGTTTTAGTAAATTCTCTTGCTCTTTCTTCAGTTTTGTTGCCTGTTATAAAAGGAATAGCATTTCAGGGAGCTAAGGCCTCCAACTTCCTCATCCATTCTCAGATCCTTTATAGTTGTTGCAGGAGGGCAAAAGCAGCACAGAGAACCGGTTACACAGCACAATCTTTTATTTTCCCATCAACACTGGAGTAGCATCTGCAATTCTCTTTATCCAGCACTACCATTAGAACAGGGTAAGTTCTTCAGGATGTACTTTCCAATACAACAACCATGCCCACTGAAGCAGCTTCTGACTCAATGACTCGTTGGTCCTCGTTGACAGAGCAGTAGCCCTAAAGCCTGATCCTGAGAGTTCCGGTGGGAAATAAGGAGAAGGGAAGAAGATAAAATCCTCCCTGACCTGGAAGTGTTCTCAGGTATTGGCAGCTAGCAGCATGAAGCACTTTGAGACAAATTCCTTCCAGCAGGAGGCTGGCCCCCCACCTCAGAAGTGAACCTCTGTACCTGTGGTTGTGGCAGGTTTTACTGCCAGCAGTGGGATGAGTTCTAAGAAGAACTAGACTCCTTTTTGGGTATGGTAAATATCCCACACTAATCTCACTCTTGCCTTAATGTGTTAGAATATTGGAGACATAACTAGGAACTCCTGTTGGAAAAAAAGCCTTCAGTCTGCAAGCTACCGTACTTGGTGAGGTTCCTAAAACAACCCTCCTTTCTCTGAGGCAACAGATGCAATTGCGGTGCTCAAATACTTAAGGAGGAACACATGGAGGCCCAAGGTTAAATCTCACTGAAAAGTACCAACACGCAGGTAGAAAATAAGAAGCCACTGCTAGCAGAAGCCACGTCATATCCAATTAGAACGACTGGCCCTGCTGCTTCACCTCAGTGTTGAGAAACAAATTCAGCCAGACTCATAACATTGGCCTGGCCTCTCCCTTCTAGGATTCCAGAACAAACTCACTGCTCTGGTATCTCCCACCTGGACTGGAGGCTATCAAGTGCACTCTGCTTCAGATGAGGGGAAACTAAATGGTTACCTCCATCTCCCGGAACTTCAGTTCTTCCATTTGTTGCAGTAACACCTCAGCTCGTTTCTTCTCTTCCAGCCGCCTCTTTTCTTCCTCTTGTTTCATTCTTTCCAGTGCTTCCCTTCGGGCAAGTTCATATTCATTTTCATACCGTCTTTTTTCTTCTCTTTCAGTTGCTTCTTGCTGATTGAGCCCAAACAAAACGTTTAACGTAATAACTGTAATTCAATATCAAAATCACATGTATTTCAACTAATAGGATGTTTTAGATATACAAATATTCTAACATTTTAAAAGCCTGATTTTCAAACATGCAGAGCACCCAGCGAGTCCCTGGATTCCAACTGGAAATGAAGGTACTCAACATTTTTTTTAAATTAGTTCAAAGCCTTACGCACCTCTAAAGGGATCAAAGAGACAATGCTGAAATGGAGCCCTCTTTATCTGTGTGATGCTGACAGACCAGGTGCCAACTCATGCTAAGGCCCCTAGGCTTCACTGAATACTGACAAATACATAGATGGAAACCAGTCTGGCTCACCTGCGTGTTACTATTGTTAATATAGACAGCAGAGTTATAAGAATGTGTTTAGACTTTATGAAATGCTTGTAGGATGCTGCATGTATTCAGCTTATGTCGGTACCCCATGTTAGAAGGTAATATTAAAGTGTGTGCTCTGTAATTATAAAAGTGTTTGCTCTACAACTGTAAATCCCCAGTCTGTAGAGAAGCATTAACAAGTATGAAATACTAATATACCGCAAGAGGTGTCATCTCCTGCCCAACAAAAGACCTGTAGATGCCAGACAATCCACTGGACATCAGTGGACAAAAGCCTTTGTTGATTGCGCCCCATGAAGAGGAGACATGCAATAGTTTGAATAAAAATCCACATCAAGAAGAAATTGTTATCCCTATGCTGGTTGGACTTCAGGGAGAAGGCAACACTTCACAGTATAAGCACGAGATCCCCAGCTGTTTAGCTGGGTAAGCCCTAAAGGACATATAGAACCTGCACATTACCTCAGTGTCTATTACTTTTTGGAACCTAAGATTATAACTCATTTGTGTGTGTTTACCTACTTTAACCTAATAACTCTTATTTCCTTTTCTCAGTTAGTAAACCTTTAGTTTATTATAGGATTGGCTACAAGCATTGTCTTTGGTGAGAAACCTAAGGTACAAATGACCTGGGGTGACTGGGAGTAACCTGAATATTATTGTGATTTTTTTGGTGTAAGGGTCCATCTATCATATGGCAAGATAAACCAGAGTGCCCCAAGGGACTGTCTGTGACTCCATGTTAAGGCTGTTATAGTGCCTGAGGAGTTCACACTTGATACTTGGTTGGTGAAATTTAATCATAGAACATACAAACGGGGGCACAAATTCCAAATTGGCTGTAACTGTCTGCCCTGTAGTTGGCACTCATGTCCGTGAGCCACTCCAGGAAGCTTGACAATCTGTACTTTCACTGCCAACACAGCCATCTGCTGTGGGCTGCCTTCAGACTAACCAAAGAGTTAAATAAGACCTTGCTTATTTCAATATCTGAAACTGTTAAGTTTGACAAAGTTTAGTTTGTGATGTAGGAACAAGTTCTTGAAGATGTGCTCACATGGGTACTGCATTTAGGTCTCTTAGGTTGGAACAGTGCCCTTGGTGCCACATCAAATCATGCAATTTATTTAGTCTACTAAGCAATGCCGCTGATTTTATATTATCAGGAAAACAAACCAGAAATAAAGCCAGAAAGGAGATTTATATACTTGCCTGACAGAGAAGATGAGGCAGAATTAAATTGCATGATCCCATCTTCATATAAAACAGTGAGGCACCACTATACATTCACTCACAACTGAGTAGAGGAGAGTATTTGGCAGTCCCTTCCACCTCTGACAACACTAATATCTAAGCACAGGAGGTGGAAGGCTTGTAAGTCTCTACAGAAAGCAAGGTTTCCCAGCGGGAGGTCAGATAAAATGAGCATTCCTCTCCCCCACCCCAAAAAAACCTAAACAGTATCTGCTCTTACAGTTCAGCACTCCTCCCACAGCTAAGAGGTACCAGTATGACTTAGAGTGGTGATTTTCAAACTGTGGGTCGGGACCCCAAAGTGGGTTGCAAATCCATTCTAATGGGATCATCAGGGCTAGCATTAGACTTGCTGGGGCCCAGAGCCCAAGCCCCATTGCCTGGGGCCAAAGCCCAAGCCCTGGGTGGCGGGGCTCAGGCTACAGGCCCCCCTCCTGAGGTCATATCGTAATTTTTGTTGTCAGAAGGGGATCACGGTGCAATGAAGTTTGAGAAACCCCGACTTAGAGCAATCCTAGCATACCTGCTTCTTTTCTGTGAGCTGATCGCCCCAAACGTCTATCACATGCTTCTTGTGGAGCTCTGACTCAATCTGAAGAAGGGAACATAGAGATCATCAGAAAATCAAGTGGTGCAGTCCGGTCTCCCATTCTGTACTATGGCATATGAAACAGGCTCTAAGAAACTATGATGTGGATTGCCATAGGTCTGCAGACAGGGAGAAATAACTAACTAGTAAGCATTGCATTCCCAGGCAACTGTCTGTTCTGGGGTAGCCCACAGTGCAGCAGCAGAATCCCCTGAGCTTGGCTATATCAGGGAGATTCTCAGCCTTCAGAAGAGGAGACTATATGACCACCTGTCTCAGGTGAGATGCTGGTGAACCTCTTTGGCCAAGGAAGGTTAGATAGGACTCTGTGGCGCCTACTGATACACCCCTACCTAAGCCATAGAGGTCACTGCTAAGGATCAGATTGCAGCATGGAACACTGAGCAGCAGAATTCCTTCCAGCAGATTTCCCCACCACCCCAGAAGTGAGCCTTTATACTAGTGGTTGTGGCGTGTTTTACAGCCAGCAGTGGGATGCTCTTTCTGCCAAGGTCTGAACATGCAATTGGTAGAGCCTTCCTCAGCCCCTGCCAGCCCTAGGACTCACGTAGCAATTCCAATCACAGGACTAGTTGGGAATAATCACAAATGTTAAAGAATATAGCAATAAGCAGGCAGAGTGGAGGACCAGCGGAACAAAAGCTAAGAAAGCACTTTAGTGGTACAGGATACAATTTTCAAAAGAATCAAAGTCCCTTAAGAAGTTCTGTCCCATTGACTTCCAAAGGGACTTCAATTTTCAAAAGCATCTTATCCGCTAAGCCTATAGTACAAGGCAAGAGCCAAGTATCTGAGAATCTTGCTGTCTGTCTAGTTTCTTGCACTGGCACCAACCTCACCTCACAAGGAGGTGCTTCTACTTTAGTGATTGCATTTGAGGGTCTGCAGTCAGTGAAATAAAGAGGTTTCTGATTATTTGGAAGAGCACATGCCTCTGGAGTGATGATACAGAACTCTTAAGTAGTTGAACCATTTTTCTTGGCTTGACATCTGTTACTTCATTTTAAAAAATCTAAAACCTGATTTAGTACACTCAGAACATTAGTGAAGTGAGTAATTATCACCTCTCGGAGTTTGGTATTGTTCTTCTTCCAGTGTTCATACAGCAGCTCTTCAGCAACCTATCAACAAAACATGAGTCAGATCACATCAGAGTAGATCAAATTTTAACAAATATTACAATCTCCCAAAACATCTGTTAAGTATGATCAAGGTTGGGAAATACAGCACTAGACAATCCCCCCAGACAGCTAGTGAATACGTATTTGGAATGTTACCAGATCCATTTTTTTTAAATGGATTAAAAAACACTCAGTTTAAATCAAAGGGATTGGCCATCCCATCAGCATGTCAGGAACATATACTATTGTAACAATATGGGGGGCGGGGAATTATTCTTATTAAGGATTAATCCTCCAATAAGAGGCTAAACCCCAGAATTTTTAAGACATATTACTGGATACAATTATATGGCATCTCTCCTCCAGGGGGCTCTCCAAATGCTTTGCAAACTGTCTATTTAAGGATTGACTCACCCACCAGTGATATGCAGCCAATTCATGGTTCAGTTTGGCAGCCACCCATGGAAGTAGCAACAGGAGGGAAAGTGAAGAATGACTTCCCCAGTTAAAACTGCTGCAGCAATATAAACTAGGCTGAATATAATTAGTCAGGATCTCAAGGATAGCACCCCAGCTCTTACAGAAAGTGCTGAGGGATCTTCAATAGCAAGAAGAAGTCAAGACTAGTTCTTCCTCTCATGTTGTTTGACACTCAGTTAACCAAAGCCAAAACAGGTATTTAGAAATCACGAGTTCCCTTTCCTGCAGGACACAGAATCAGGCAGACACAGGGGACACTTATTTCTCTAATCAAGTTTTAAATCAAAGAGATACTTACCCTCAGCCGCAGGTGTGAGAGGGACAGAAGGGCACTCCAGCTCAGCCTACACACACACCTCAGACCACTTCTCACAAGTTACCTTTTTCCGACGCTCTTCTCTAGCAGATTTCAAATCTTCACTTCTCTCTCTGATCTTGTTCAGCTCGGACTCCTCGTTCAGTCTCAGCTCCCTGAGTTCCGCTGTTAGCAATTCTCGCTCCTCATACAAAAGTTTCCTAAGTTGTTCTCGTCTGTGCTCCAAGCTGATTTTTTTCTCCTCTTTCATTTTCTCACAGTGATATGCATTCATGCTACCAAAGACACACAACGGAAGAGAGGATTAAGCATCCTGCTAGCCCAGAGTAAGAGAGTCTGCAAAACACGGGACACATGGCAGTGGGGCCATGTGTCCGTCTAATGACACAGACCACTTGCTGTTCCAAAAACCTTCTCAGTTGACCAGACTAAGATCAAAACTGGACCTGCCAGTGTCCGCTGCCTCCTATACCAGGGCATGCACAAGTCCTTCTGCCCTCCTTACGGGAATGATGGCGATGCCCCAAGGCCTAATCCCAGAGGCCCTAGAACAGCGGTTCTCAAACTTTTGTACGGGTGACCCCTTTCACACAGCAAGCCTCTGAGTGCGCCCCCCCCCCCCAGAACACGAAGCCCACAGCCCTGGGGACGGGGAGCCCCCGCGGCCCGGCCCGGCCCCGCCCGCCGGCGGAGTCTCACCTCTGCTGATAGGAGCGGCGCGAGCTCCACTGGCTCTGTTTGGAGCTGCAGACTCCGGACTGTTTGAAATAGCGGCTGTTCCGCTCCCACTGCTGCCGCCAACGGGCCTCCTGGTCCCGCTGCCGCACGATCTGCTTCTCCAGGGCTCTGCTCCGGCTGGGCCAGCGGGCGGGCAGCGTCGGCAACGCCATCGGCCCAGCACGAGCGCGGCGGGGTCACCGCGCCTCAGCCTCCGAGGGTCGGCCCGGGCAGGCCCCGCACTCCCGGGGGTGGGCGAGGGGAGGCCGGGCAGGGGACAGCCCCGCCCCCCGCTCGTGCCCCCGGGCGAGATGCAGCCACCGGCTGCGGGGCCCGAGGCGCTGCTGGGCTGCCCCCAAGGGGCCTTTACCGACAGAGCCCGCGGGGCGGCACCGGGTGAAGGGAGGACTCGCTCCGAGCGGCGCCCGCCGGGGAAACAGTAACGGCTTCCGCACTTCCGGCCTCCGCCGCGCAGCACCATGGCAACGCTTCCGGGCGGGGCTACGGGCTCCTTCGAGGGACACGCTGTCCCTGAGCGCCCAATGAGGCGAGACCCCGCCCTCTCCTCCCCGGTCCCGCCTGTACGCGCGGGCAGTTTCCCCAGCTGACCCGTGCAAACCGCCTCCGCCACTCTGTGCAGTTTATCATCTGTTCACACTCCCTCTTGCTGACAGGTCCAAGTTCTTCAGCTAGAAGTTGTAAAGAAGACAGAGGTTGTGCAACTAACAAATACAAGTGTTTGTGGATTGTAGGCGAATAACTCACACTTAGCTAAATATCGCATACTAGTCATGAACTCTGAATACCTATGACATCAGAATTGCTTCTGTTCTCATTTCACAAAAACTGAGCTGTGCCATCTCTGAATTCATCAAGACAGAGGAGGAGGCTGGGTCTATCGGAGAAAGATTCCACTCAAACACAATTCAACTAGTGGGAGCTCAGTCACACATGCTAGAGTGAAAGTTGTTTAACAATGTAATCCCCTGGTTTCACATGCTCATTATTTACTGACAAATGCCTGCTGAGCTGGATATTTCTAGGATTGTTTTCTGCTCAAAGTGCTTTTGTTGTTGTTAAATTTTGAACAAAATCCGGCATTTTAAAAAAGACAAATAGCAATAGGCACCATTCTAAAAAGGAGGTAAAAAAGTACAGAAATAGAAAGCCAGGTACATCCAGAGCTGGCATTTACAGCTTGCAAAATACATTCTCTTTATACAACTGAGCACAAAACATTTTTGAGGTTTTTTAAGTGTGCACCTAATCACCCTGCGCTTTAACTGCATGTCAATAGACACCTGTCAGTCTGGAGGCTTAAAGCAGCTATTCATATAAATTATTTATACAGTGCTCAAAGTCTACATGACACGTTATAAAAACAGAAAAGGGGTGAAATCCTAACCCTATTGACATAAATGGGAGTTTTGCTATTGACTTCAATAGAGCCAGGATTTGACCCAAGGTCCCGGCCCTCGTGATCTTACAAACGAAGAGCCTGATCCTCTGAGGTGCTGAGGTCACCACTGTATGTGATGAGAGTGTCCAGCACCTGGGGGATTGGGTCCTAAATAAGCTTAAGCTCTTTCATAAGTGCACACTTGTATATGTGTGTTAGTAGTAGTTTGAACAGTTCTGCAGCCACAAATAAAATGGTTGAACAGGTTCAGTGAGCTGTAGGATTTGAGTTGTTTTAGGCACTTGTTGCTACCTCAGGTACTTACTGTGCCTTAAAACCTTACACCATTGTAAGGCTTTCAAGCACTTTAAGTATTTATTGTGCTGTAAATATTGAAGGCAGTTTAAAGTTATCCTCTTCATCATTTGAGTTAAGATAAGCACTTATGCCAACTTAAGACATTTATTCTTTTTCTAAAACCCAGGAAATTAAATGCAAAATATTGCAGCAATTTACTATTAGTGCTGCAAAGTTCAAATCACAAAGACTCAGAAAATACAGAAATTCAGGTTCCAATAGCAACATTAACCTGATTGTGATGCACATATGCAATGTTTTGCACTTGTTTTGCTGGTTAAATGTCCCGTTTGATCTTACTATGTGTAGCCCAATGGGCCATCTTACCTGTATTATATGCATTGCTTTGTTATTCTGCTTTATTATATTTAGTAGTAATGCAAGGAACCTACAGGCTTTTATCCTGTAAGATTTGGCTTTAACAGATAGTGCGAGGCTTGAGGCCTATAACCGTTGGCATAGATAAATTTAAGTAACTCATAAGTTATAGGGAACTGAAAGTAGCATGCAAGAGGGGGAATTTTGTCCAGAATACTGACATCAGCCACCCACAGAACATAGCTGACACCAGCATCCAGAAGGTTCCAGACAGAACGTCCGACCGCAAAGGTGCCATGACATGAATTTGATGTGTATGCTAATAGAGTAACATCATATATACACTAACCGATAGAAAACGGACACCTTAAGGGGAGGAAATACAAATAAGGACCTCTATTGAATATGCATTGGACATGGCAGCGTCAGCGTAACCTACTATAAAAGTAACATCCCAGGGGCAGCAGGAGGGTGGAAAGATGTAGACCTTGTGAGGGGCTAGAATGATGGCCACGGGGGAAGATGAGGACGATGACAGTGATGAGAAAGATAATGGTTGTCTGAACGATAATGGTTAAGTATGTAAGCTAATGGTTAAATTGGTTAAGAAAGATAAGGGTGTAAGTATGGACGTCCAAATGTACTTTCTGTATTATCTCTATCTGCCTTGTTGAGTTTAAGGGTGTGTATAACTTTGCTAAATTATTAATAAATCATATATTTATATATAAAGAGAGTTCCTATAGTGTAAGTATTGCACCTGTGCACATCGGGGTTCCCAAATTATATGATAATTTTACAATAATCTTACTGGGCCTGATCTTGGGACAAGAACCTGTTAATCCTCAAGTTACAATTATATATACCCAACTTTGGGCCAAGCTACATATGCATACCGTAAAATGTATAATATATATGTAAAACATAGAGGAGATGACAAGTTAATGGGGTGTTGGAACCTCTACTTCTGCACTTTCTGATTTTAATTGTGCTACATTGCATTCACACAATTTTTATATATTTAATTATGTACAGGACTTTTTATGAAATTGTGCTTTTGAGACAAATTAATGAAGATGTATTATTCAGCAAGTTGCTTCTCAAGGATACTGCAGTGATAGACAATCTGATTCAGGCTTCTGTCACTAACAAGTTCTATATCTACACTGGTGCCTGCCAAGCTTAATGGGATTAATGTTAGTTACTACAATTTACTACATTTCTATCTTGTCTTTTCTTCCCAGAGTTCCATTTCCCCATGGGTGTATTTTGTTTCAGATGTGCCCTGGAGCCCAGTATGAATTTAGGGAAAGCACTCTCTTTGCCCATGAAAAAAGCACTGCACATGGGCTCTGAGTGGAAAAAGCACTCTGTGTGCAGGATTTTGGTTTGAATCTCTTTTTCCTCCCTTTTGAAGGAATTTTAAAATTCACCGTCTGCATGTCAAGTTTTTTAAGCCTGATCTAACAAGGACAGTAAGTTATGTGCCATATAAAAAATTTAGCTATATTAAATAATTAATGACAAACTAGATTAGAATACCTCATTAAGGCCTGAGAAAGGAACCTCTGGACCAGGGCCAGTGAAGTATAAATAAAGAGTCTGCACAACCAGTCGGTTTTACCAGCATGTGTTGCTAGGATTACAGTTTGATTCATAGATGCTATTGTAGATAAAATCATATATGAACACATTTCTGAACTGCGTTCAGTGCAGCTGCTCCAACACAGTTCTGTCTCACGTGGCTCTACCCTGCGAGGTGGAGCTGTAATTGGCAGATATTTTCACAAATGGGGAGAGCCAGCGCAGTTTGAGGCTGCAGTGTGGACAGGCACCAAAAGGCACAAAATTCTGTCTTAAGCAACACACGGTAGTTCCTGGCACAAAAAGGCCTCGAGATACATTTGTCCCGGCCAGGTTGACCTTTAGCCAAGAAAGCAGTGAAATATATTTTGGTCCTGAGCCAGAATGGGATGTTATCCTGATCAGGTTAATGACCCAGCACAGGGCTCTTGGCATATAATGCAGCATTTAAAAGCAACTGAAAGATACATTTTGGGAGGGGAAAACAGATAAAAGGTTCAACCTTCATGAAATATCCTGGACTTCAGGTTGTCAGGATAACCTCCACAGAACACAGGGACCAGTCCCAGTTTTTACAGCTCTGGCCTGCAACCTACCTTTGAAAGCCATTGGTGCTGGCTGCTATTAACTCAGCTTGGCCAACAGGCATGTAGGCCTTTGGTGCTGGATGGCATTAATTTCAGAAGGGTGACTTGGCTAGCAAGCTGCCTTCTGGGGATAATGCTAAGAATCGGTTTGGTCCACGGGGCACATCATGCATCACTAGTGCTACCTCCATCAATGGCTATTAGCCAGGATGGCAGGGATGGTGTCCCTAGCCTCTGTTTGCCAGAAGCTGGGAATGGGTGACGGGATGGATCACTCAATGATTACCTGTTCTGTTCATTCCCTCTGGGGCACCTGGCATTGGCCATTGCCGGAAGACAGGATACTGGGCTAGATGGCCAATTGGTCTGACTCAGTCTGGCCGTTCTTATGTTCCATGGGACATACGGGGCACCTCTGCAGGGGGGTGTACTAGGCTTTGTGATGCTGCTTGGCTGGGGAGTGTTGGGCACTGCTGCCACTAGCGTAGCAGGACATGCCTGGTGCTCCGGTTGGCACTGGCATACTGGTGCATGCCAGGGGCTGTGTCTGGCACTAGCATGGCAGGGTGCACTGGGAGCTGTGGATGGCACTAAGGTGGGGCGCACTGGGCACTGGCACTAAAACACCATGATAGAGGCTCAAACTATATGTATACCCCAAATTTAAAAAAAACAGCAAAAAAGGCCACCGTGGCTAAACAACAAAGTAAAAGAGGTGGTTTGAGACAAAAAGACTTCCTTTAAAAATTGCAAGTCTGACCTTACCCAGGAAAACAGAAAGGAGCATAAACTCTGGCAAGTCAAGTGGAAAAGTATAATTAGTCAGGCCAAAAAAGAAATTGAAGAGCAACTAGTAAAAGACACAAAAACTAACAACAAAATGTTTTTTAAGTACAGGAGAAGCAGGAAGCCTGCCAAACAATCAGTGAGGTCACTGGACCATCGGGGTGCTAAAGGGGCACTCAAAGAAGACAAAGCTGTTGCACACAAGCTAAATGAATTATTTGCATCTGTCTTCACTGCAGAGGATGTGAGGCCATTTCCCACACCTGAGCCATTCTTTTTTGGTGACAAATCTGAGCAACTGTCCCAGATTGAGGTGTCCATACAGGAGGATTGGGAACAAATGGATCAATCAAACAGTAATAAGTCACCAGGACCAGATGGTGTTCACTAGAGTCGGTGCTAGCCCA